GTATCTTCTTTGTCTGGTTATTTTTTCCACATACATTAGGTGATGGTGGTTGGGGAAATAACTCATGTCACAGGCCATGTGGAGAAAAACAGCTTCTCATCACCACAGCATATTCACAGGTTTATATAGCATTTTTTTCATATCTACAGTCTTATAAAACACAAACATTTGGAATAAGACAGCTTACTCACTTCTTACTTTTAGCCTGATCTGAGTCCTCGTCACGTGGTGCAGCTGCCTTTCTCAGAGAATGGTGGAATTCATGGATTATAGAAATGCTGCTTTTCTTTTTTCCTGGTGGGCTGCAACAGTTCCATTCCCCCTGCAAAGGCCAAACCACTGACTTCCCTTTCCCTGCTCCCTTTTATACCCCTCTGCAGGCCCACCACCCTCCCAGGTATGAGACTGCCATGGTGATGGCTTGTTCTTTAACCCTACCGTGTCCATGTGTTAGGAGCAGCCTGGTCTGCTACAAACCATATAGGCTTTGATAGAAAACTAGGGCTTTTAAAGAACTCATCCAACGAATTTTATGCTTTTTGAGAGGTAATTTCATGGTGCCCTTCTGAAGAGCTGTCCTGAGTCTTACTAAATCAGCCGCGCAGACTGTGTGTACGGTACTGCCCTTGCTGTCTGTTTCTTTCTGAAATCCCCAAATCTTCAAGAGTGTTTACTTCCTCAGTGCTTGTACATCTCTTAGGTGTGTATTCTCACTAACATCATTTCATGTCGATTCATGTAAATAGTGCTCCTGCAATGGTATGTGGAGTGGAAAAATGAATCAATCTGGGCGGTCCCCTTAGTGGGTGATCTGTTTTGTAATTTGTACAAAGGAATTTCTCCAAGGAAACTGTTTGCTTTCTTCCCAAACACTTTGTTGCCCAACTCTTAGCGGAACAAAACTGTCTTTATAGCTCATCTCAAAATTGTTTCAACTCGCAGTCCAGTCCCCACATCCTCTGTTTGCTCAACGTTCCCTGGGAAGCTCCACCCTCACTTCCAGCTAATAACCACGTTAACCCGCAGCTTGATTTTTCCCAGTTTCTCCTTCGCCCGCTCGGCAGCACTTGCATTATCATTGGCCGCCAGCCTTGCGAGCCGTGATCGTCTGCACGTGGTGGCGTTTGTGCTGGCAGTGGCAGCCCAGGACTTCTCGGGTCAAGCAGCCTCTCCTGCTTGCTGCGAAGCACGGCATGATTGTGGGGACGGTCCTCTTCCAGTCTAGCAGCTATGGCAAAGAGGGCAAGCTGCTCTGCTGCCTTGGCGAGGGAGCCTCTGAGCCTGGCGTGAGTTTCACAGGTATGATGCTCAGGGATGTAACGCTGTGCTAGCCCTTTCCTGTATTTCTCTGAGTGCTTCAAGGAGGATGTGGGTCCTTTCAAGTCTATCTTTGTTTTGTAGTAGGAGACCAGGCATGGGCAGGACTGAGACTGCCTGCTTTTATCCAGGTTTTATGATTATTGAACTGCTTCATTTTTATGAGCAGTTACGCAGTTTGTATTTCAGAAATAGGGACCACTTCAGCACTTGATGTGACTCTAAAATTTAAGACTTAGCGTACACTACCTCCTGCTTTTGGACCGAAGAGATTGGAAATTGCAGTGTTGCCACAGGGTGGGGGACAAAACGCCCCATACATGTTGGCTGAATAGGAAAGGCATTCGTATCCGGAGAGAAGCAAATTGTATTGTGGGAATAAAGAAAAGGAAGGAGATGGATGAAGCATAACTGTGTATTACTTGTACACTAAACGATGATGTAAGTTTTCCATTGTATAGGAAATGAAAGTGGTAGTATATGATTTATGGCTGGCCTTTAAAAGGAGATGATAAAAAACAGAGCTTCTCAGCTCATTTCCTTACTCCTGGTGTGAACAGAGCTTGCAGACTATTCAGCTGGAGGGGTACAATTTGTGATATGCTTTGGTTATCTTAGTTTCCTTAATGAGGTCTGTGTGATGATCATGTTTCACTGACCTTCCATATCTTTACATATTGGATGGTATAGATCCCACACCATATTGAGCAGCATGGGTTATTATGTAATAATAACAACCTGCAATAGGTACTTTTGTATCTTGGTAAATTCCTCTTCAGTAGATATTGGGTGACCTTTACAGTTACTTAAGCGTCCAAGTTGCTCTAAAAATGAAAGTGAAGGCAGTTAGTGAGACATGAACTCTTAAAAGCATTTGATTTTTAGGTAATGTGATTTTTAGGTAAGCACTGTAGGTAAGTGACTGAAGCTCCTCGTCAAACGTTAACTTCTGCTGGCTTTTTTTTTTTGTACATGAAGCGGGTGTTAAGACCATGTGCCAGCCTCCCCGGCGTTCCCGAGGAAGCGGCAGTAGTCCCACCTCTGCTTTGACTCCTCGCTGGCGGTCCCGCACTGCACCACAAATGGTTTCATGTGGGCAGAGCTGCTCAGCGCTAAGCGGCAGGTGGCATTTCTGCTGCTTTTGCCTTGGCTGAAGTGCCCGCTGCCGGGCTCAGCGTGGGCAGGCTTAGCTGGTCATGGGGTTTGCTGCAGCAGCTCCGAGGCTGAGCTGATACGGGGCTGCTCCAGGCTTTCCCAGCCAGGGCATGGTTAAATGCTTAACTCTGCGCTGTCTGTTCAGTAGCGGTGGGATGCTCAGCTCATGAGTTTTTCTGGCTTGAGAAAGAAACTTAAAGTATGCTTTGATTTAGAACAAATGCATATATTTTTGTTTAAAGCCTTTTGCGTTTTGGCAGACATTTAATTGAAAGTAAGAGGTTATTTAAACACCATTAAGGTATTTTGGAGCTGAAAGGTTGGGTATTTTTTGGAAACACTGCTTACTTTTGTGTTTGCTCCTTAGCAGAGATACATAAGCCAGCTTTCTTGTATAGCACATTTGCTGAGTGACTTTGCTTAAGGCACCAAAATACTCTCTCTAATACAAGTCACTGTAGCAGTATAACGAATGTATTATTTAATTAAATATGTATTTTTACTCCACAGAGAGAGGTGGATTTAGGAACTGGTGTTCTTTCCTGGTGCTTAACAACTAGACATGCATGTACACACATCCAGTTCTAAAAAACTGCAGTGGGATGTTGGCAGCCATGCTATGATATAGGTAGCTGAACAGACATTGGGATCTCCTCTCTTTTCCATGATAACACCCTGTCTGATAGGCTAGTATATTGTAAAACTAATTACAGTTGATGGTTAGGAACAAGAAATTAATGTAAATAGTGAATCTGCAGATACTGAAATCAAAGAAGTGACATTTTGGTAGCTGAATCTCTTGTCACTTCTGTTCTTGCTAGGAGAACCTTGATAGAGGGCTACTTTGGCAAGGCTTGGGAGGTAAGTTATTAAGTAATTACAAGATGAGCAGGTTATGCAAGCAGCGTAACTAAATAGTTACCAGAAATGCAGTCAGAAGCCACTTAGCTGCGTGTTTAAAAACAAAACAGAACAAACCTCAATCATTTACTTTCTCATATACCTACACCAGAGTCGAAAGATTGCATGTAGATGCTGAGAAACCCCTACGTCCTTGTTTTCCAGGCTTCAGCTCTCTCCTGTGACACAGATTTGGCATATGTTTGCCTATTAGTTGGCACGGGCCTCTTCCTGTTTTGTGTCTCACTGATTTCCCAGTTTTCCTATCCTGTACTTCATCTGAGCTCTTTGGTCTCTTTTAAAGTGCCTTATAGACCAAGCCCTCGCTCACAAATGTAAATCTCATGGGTAGCGGGGAAGGGGGTAGTTACAGGTACACGTTCTCTGGCAGTGGTCTGCTTGAAAACATCCTGAGCCTGACTTCTCAGCCCCTCAGAAATGGGGCAAAGCAGTGATTGTAAATCAAAGAAAGCCTCACATTTTTTAAAGAGGACTTTTTACGTTTAGTGCATTCAGTGATTCCTCTTTACAGTGTACATTTTCTTAAGTAATTCAATGAGAATTCAGAAATATATATTGGGACAGGAACTTATGTCAGTTGAGCCATCAGAAAAAATGTTTGTATCTTTACACCTTCATGGTTTTTTGCCCCCTTGAGCAGCCCACATGTATGAATCCACATCGTCGGCTCTTTCTCTTGTCTTAATATGGAAACTTGTTCTGCTACATGTTCCTGGAAAACCTCCCTATGAATTAGAAAGCCACTCATGGTCTTGGCGTAGCACTACCATGAAGTGTTCAGATAGTTTTGCATTTTACTACCGTTCTTTCCAAAACCCCGTGTGTTTACATGGTTTTTCATCATCACAGGCACTGTGGGGACTTTTTTCTTTTGTCTATAAACCAAATCTGATTCCTCCCCCCACTCCCTTGTGCTATCAAGTTTGCATCAGTTGTCCTTTGAAACAGCAAAACAGAACTGTCTGGGTATTTAGAAATGCTGCTCAATACCTAGCATCACCCTTACTCCTTTCTGTTCCTGTCAGTTTTTCCTGTTGTTTACACAGTCTTGAAATGCGTTACAAATCACCATCATTCCTGCTAATACTGAATCAGTTACTGTCCCAACCTGTAGATCTCATTTGTCTCATAATTCAGTGTGTCTTACCTGTCTTTCTAGTGTCGGTTTCGGATCCAGGCTATCTACTTCAGCCACAGAAACAATAAAGACATAAAACATAACATTTCAGCATCAAAAGGTTTCCTTCACGAATTCACATAATAAAAGCACTTTTAATTTCTCACCCATTTCTTCATCTATGAATACGTAAATACTTGTATATGTAAATAGAAGTATATATAATATAATAAATAGAAATGTTATACACATAGCTTACTACTTGGTATATAGGCAGTTAATCACCTTTTCCAGCCCCCATTAGAAGTAACTATAGAATGAAGAGTCAGCAAAGTGAGGACTGAACACCACTGCTGTAAGATGTGCAGATGTGGTGTTCCCTTTCCATCGAGAGCATGCTGTGCAGTAGGAGCTCCTCTCTGCTGTACGCTGGGTTTTGAGCTATTTACAGTTGTTCCCAACGTAATTTCCTCTTCTGTTCTTCCTTCAGAGGCCCTGCACCGCCCCTACGGTTGCGATGTTGAACCCCAGGCACTGAACGAAGCCATCAGATGGAGCTCCAAGGAGAACCTGCTTGGAGCCACTGAGAGCGATCCCAATCTCTTTGTTGCACTTTACGATTTTGTAGCAAGCGGTGACAACACGCTCAGCATCACCAAAGGTAAGGCTGTGAATCGCAGAGCAGCTACTAGGTTGAAAACTTAGTAACGGAAAGCAGAATCCTGCTCTCCTGTCGTTCTGTCGGAACGGGAACGAGGGCCGCTAGAGAAGGTGATTCTCTAAACTGGTGACGCTAAGCAGATGGTTTCTGTCTCCCTTGTGTGGGAGAGACACCTGCCGGGCAGCGCTCCCAGTGCAGACGCGCTTCTGTACAACGCTGCCGAACAGTCGAGCCCAGCTCCAGCTGTTCCCACTCTAGGCCCCCCAGATCGTCGGCCCTTTGAGGCACCTGTTTGGAGGAGGAGCAAAGGAAAACCGTTACGTTATTCATGATAACAGAATTCAGCGCTTTCAACTGCGGCAAAACCAAGAATTAAGACTTTCACAGAGATTTCCTGTTTCTCTTCAGTACGTATATCAGAATCTGACCTGCTGCAGAACTGTTTTAAATCACATGCCATTTAAGGCTTCGAGAGGGAGACAAACCTCACCCCTCCGAGGGAAAAAAGTTTTTCTAGTCTAAAAAGCTGGACTGCAGGAAGCTTTTTGAGCTCATCAATCACACCGCAGTAAATTGGGGAACAGCATCCTAGGTATTCTGTCTGAAACTTTACTTTATAAATGCTTCGTGTATAGCAGTTTAGTTATAAGATCACTGCTGCAGATTTTTATAGTTAAGCTACAAACCCAGGCTTACTCAGCGGATGGTGAGTTTCTCCCTTAATGAGACCCAGTAGATTGCACTGTGCTTATTTTGCTTTTTTCTTTCTGGTCATAGGTGAGAAGTTGCGAGTCCTGGGTTACAACCAGAATGGAGAATGGAGCGAGGTACGTTCGAAGAATGGGCAGGGCTGGGTACCAAGCAACTACATCACACCAGTGAACAGCCTGGAAAAGCATTCATGGTACCACGGGCCAGTGTCACGCAGTGCAGCAGAGTATCTGTTGAGCAGTCTCATCAATGGCAGCTTCCTGGTTCGTGAAAGCGAGAGCAGCCCGGGGCAGCTATCCATCTCGCTCAGGTACGAAGGACGTGTTTACCACTACAGGATCAATACCACCTCAGATGGAAAGGTAAGGATCTCTGGATAACGCTGTGGGGAGAGGAAATAAGGATATTCATTAAGAGGTAGTACAGAATCTCACGTTGCAGGGTGTTGAGAGGGGGGTGTGTGTGAGAGAAAGCAGGTCCACTGGTTGATTAATATAAAAAAAAGAACATGCGTGCCAAGAGTTCGGTGGCAACTCACCGAACGCCACTTTGGAGGAAGTGCAGACGGTACTTACCCTGGCTGAAAGTGGCTAAAAACCAAAGCAGCTGTGGTTTGATGTGACACCTTTCCATTGATCCCCTTAGAACAAGCAGAGCTTTGGCAGGTCAGCAGTTTTGATCAGCCTTTTGAAACCTTGATCAAATAGCGATATGTTGTGTTGAGAGATGCAGAAACCACGGGGCTATGAGAATTCCAGTTTCTAGTCCTGTAAAGCACAAGGCAGGAGGCAGCACTGCTCTCCAGTGTTAGCTTATATCTAGCTGTCTTCTGCAGGTAAAAGTCTCACAGTTTAATATCCATTTGCCCAACAACATGAGAACAAATGCTTTAAAGTCTAGTTCCCTTAACGTTTATTTTTTTTTAAACCAGCTAGAATGTTTTTTCTGTACCTGTTTTCCAATGTTACTGAGACCTTCCAGCTGCCTTCATTCAAGCAGCTTCCTGGTTCATTCTTAACAGGTATACGTGACAGCAGAAAGCCGTTTCAGCACGCTAGCAGAGCTAGTGCACCATCACTCGACAGTAGCAGATGGACTGGTGACAACTTTGCATTACCCAGCACCCAAGTGCAATAAGCCCACTGTCTATGGAGTGTCCCCCATCCACGACAAGTGGGAGATGGAGCGGACTGACATCACCATGAAGCACAAACTTGGGGGAGGGCAGTATGGCGAAGTGTACGTTGGTGTCTGGAAGAAATACAATCTCACAGTTGCTGTGAAAACATTAAAGGTGAGTTTTCACATTGTTATGCACTGTTTATTTGGTCACCATTTACGATAAGGGTAAGGAAATGGCAACATTCTCAGTTATACCTCCTAATGATATGAACATCAGAAAACGGAGTGTGCTGATCTGCATAAAATCCATGCTTGAGAGTAGCTTGGCAGAACAAAGTTAGCTTATCAAACTTGCACCAGTGCATGTGGCTTAGAAACAATGTGGAATTTTGGCCCAGCAAGCTCCTACAGGAATGTCCAAGTTAGATCTGTAGAAGTGGTTACCAAGTCCACTTCTTTTCCCTCAGAAGAGCCGTGGAAGCTTTAAGAAATCAAAGGTGTTGGAAATATCTTCTACAAACTCTCTCCTGCACCTGGAAAAATTCAGCTTCTCTGTTTATCTTCCTTGTCAAAGCCTTCTGTTTGTTTCAACATCAGCAGCTACAATTCTACGTACTCCCTAAGTAAGGGAGCTTTCAATCTTAATTTTTATAGCTAGGCAGCTAAGTGATCCTGAGATCTCCCCAGCCACAACTGCTTTGGTAACCACAACAGCTACCACACAAGAAAACCTAGCACTTTCTGGGTACTGCAGATCTGTCCCTTAGCCATGCCGCAGGCCAGCCAAGCGGCTTTTCAGGTCTGTTATATTTGTAAAAGACAAAAGAGCAGAGTGGGGGTAAGGATGCCATCATTTATATTCAGCTCGGATACTTGGTGTTAGGCAGACCTTGGTCATGAAGATAAATTTTCCCTTCTTTTGCCTCTCTGTTTATCTAGGAAGACACCATGGAGGTGGAAGAGTTCTTGAAAGAAGCTGCTGTGATGAAGGAGATCAAGCACCCCAATCTAGTGCAGTTGTTAGGTTAGTGAAGTTCCTTGCTCCTCCTCTTCTCACTTGAGTTTCCACCAAAATGAAATCTGTCTTGTTTAAAAGCAGCCGCAGATTTTCTGTATTTATGTTACTTTTTGAATCAGGTCAGGTTATGGGGTGGTATTTTTGACAGCTTACTCCTTTATGTAGTATTGGGGCTAAGAGACACAAATTTTGAATAAAACATCAAATATAGTCAATTACATTAGTAGACAACTTTGCTCTTGAGGCACGACTGTGCATTTTATATAAAAGTTTGCAATATCAGCCTCCTGTTTGTTTGTACCCTTGGCTTTAGACGTGCTCGAGGGTTCAGTTATCAGGGTCAGATTCCTTTTGTGCTGTGTTAAATCAGATTTAAAGATTTATTTTTCATGACTTATTTTTCTGATAGAACAGAACAAACTTATAAGAAAATTGAAAGCGAAAGAAAAAAATCATATTGGAAGCACAACAAATACTGTTCTTCATACTTCTCAAACAAAGAGACATTTCTAGAAAAAGCTGCACTCAGTAGAGAAATCTGTCCATAATTTAGCAGATGATGGTCAGAACGCTGGTGGTGTAAGGGACCCTGTGTCTCACCAAATAAGTACATGAGATGAAGGCAGTGGAGAGTCAAGTCAGATGAAACAGCACATGAATGGAAGAAATCTGCAGGCTGTACAGCTTGGCTGTGGCCTGTTTGTCTCACTGAGAAATGCATGATATGATGATCACTATTAAATAGTCTGCATAGCTGTTAATTCTACATGTACAAAGATTCTTAAGGAGACACCCTAAACCTTTACTAGTGTTTAATTGCCCCTGGACTTCTGCTGCTTTCAGGAGCAAAGCTGTCAAGCCAAGCCTAGGATGAAAGGAGAAATGTGAAGAATGCGAAGGCTTTTAATAACGGCAACTATTCTGTACCCACTTAAAAAACGGGCACAGATGAAGTGTCTGCCCAGCCCTGTCTGGTTCCAGGAGTAGAGACTAAAAGATTTCTCATCAGAGGGATGCATTTTTGCACTTTCTGGTGCACACTGTAGTTGTGTTTTACTCCTGCATGCACGTAACGGCATTCAGCAGTGCAGCAGTGGGAGTTCACAGAGATTTGCCAGGAGTATCCTGTTGCCCTCCTCCTCTGCTAATACATACTTTGTACATAATTGCAATGACTCTAGCAAGTAGTCATCTGAGGAATGTGTGAGAATCCTGCTTTAGGAGCAGGTCCCACCGTGCTGCTCGCTTGCCCAGCTAGCACACATGGGAGTGCTTCACATTACTCCGTAGTGACATGTCAGTCTGGAAGTCTTGCTGGTTGACAGGTACGTACTTCCAGTTGTCCACTCGTTAGCTTTATGAAGGAAGAGAGGGGAAGAAAAGCAAATCATATATTGTCAAAACAACTCCCTATTTCATTCCGTAACCCTCCAAAGGACAGAGCAACTCCTTCGTATATATTATACAGGAATAGTGTTGCTTTGATAGACCTGTTTCTCTCTATCCATGAAGTGGATGGACAGATAAATAGACAGAAGCACTGAATTTTAAGTCGGGCTGCACTGATCTGGGTCTCGTAGATGGAACCCTCCACTTTTCAGAGAAACACTCATCGGTACAAAATGCGACAAATGGATATTAAATCAGGAGAAGTGGTAAGCTAGGGAGGGAAGGAAAGCTTTATTCACATGTTCCCTCTGCCTCACTGCTAGGTGTATGTACCCTGGAGCCACCCTTTTACATTGTGACAGAATACATGCCTTATGGGAACCTGCTAGACTATTTACGGGAATGCAACCGGGAGGAAGTGAGCGCCGTTGTGCTACTCTACATGGCCACTCAGATCTCCTCTGCTATGGAGTACCTGGAGAAGAAGAACTTCATTCACAGGTGGGTAAAGCCCACTGAGCTGGTGCAGTTTCGGATTGCAATGATGAAATTCCTCCTTTTTGGGAAGTTTCTTCCACAGTTAGGTTTCACACTGGCTTACCCATTGGCTGTTTTGGTTTCAATACCGTCTTGCAATACCTTCTCCCCGTGACTTTGGTAGCAGACTTACAATCTCGTGCACAACTGACGGACAGATATGAAAGCTGGTGGTGTCCCGTTCTAATCCACCCACTCTGTGCAAGACATAGTCAACTAAATGTCCTGAATCCAGTCAGATAAGGCCATGCCATAAAGCTGTTACCAGCCTGTGACAAGCTGCTGATCTCATCCTAGTCTCAGGAAACATAAACGTTTCATTGTAATAGCTGTCATTAATGGAAATTTAGTAGAAGTCAAAGAATGAACCCTAATCCTGGCCTACCTTGTTGCTCCTAAGAATAAGTCCACTCAGTTTCTGACACTGTTCAGGGCAAGGCTCACATTACCTTTACAAGTGCCTCCTGATTCAGAAGAGGGGGGCAGGCTGTGCAACCCCAAGACTGTTATTCAAAAGCCCTGCTTTTGCTCCAGTAAAGGACTGTGCTTTTTTCCTTTGTACAGGGACTTGGCAGCACGGAACTGCTTAGTTGGAGAAAATCATGTGGTGAAGGTGGCTGACTTTGGCTTAAGTCGACTTATGACTGGAGATACCTACACAGCTCATGCTGGAGCCAAGTTCCCAATCAAATGGACAGCTCCTGAGAGCCTGGCCTATAACACCTTTTCAATCAAATCAGATGTGTGGGGTAAGAAAACTCCACTTTGGTGTTCTTCTCCATTTCATTTTGGTTTTCTTTGCCAGCCTAGACAGTGGCTTGCTTTCTGGCCTGGACAGAAACATGGGGGGAGGAGACGGTCACATGCCAGGCCACAAATTCATGAATCAATAGCATTTTTGTCATGTAATGTCTTCACCTAGACTGGCCTGAAATATCTGCAAGAAAAGGATGCTGCCTCAAGCTTCAGTAAAGGCCACAATGTCATGCGCAACACAAAAGGAGGGCGGATTTATGACCAGCAATTTTGTTTTCCTCCTTTTGCAGCCTTTGGGGTGCTGTTATGGGAAATTGCTACCTATGGGATGTCACCATACCCAGGCATTGACCTCTCTCAGGTGTACGATCTGCTGGAAAAGGGCTATCGGATGGAACAACCCGAGGGGTGCCCTCCAAAGGTTTACGAACTGATGAGGGCATGTGAGTATCTTCTTCCAGTTTGTGGGAGGAATCTGTACTTAACTCTGAAGTCCTTGCTTCTTACGTGCCATTTTGTTAGTTAATGTGGAAAAGGCCCCGTCACCTGGGACGTACCTGGTTACTGATGGAAAATGAGTCTGGTCTCCAGGGAACAAGAATTCACTCTCAAAAACTGTCATCTCTGAGTACAGCTAGATAGCACGTCGTGGCAAATTGTTCTGGTATTTTGTCAGTAGGACTCTTAATATGGAACCACCAAATGAGAATAAAATTTAGTTCTCTGCAAAACCAGCACCTGTGCAGGAGACATGTAGTTGACAAGGTTGCACAAAACGCATCCTCCAAGCACACCATAAAAAGCTCCCTAGTGCTCCATAACAAATTGAAAATCTACTAATAAAAGGCCAAAAGATACAGTGTGCTACAGGGAGAGAGCAACAGAGTTTAAGAGCATTGCCAATCTCCTTCGGTCCTGCAAGAGCAGAGACTACATTGGGCAAAAGGCTGAAAATTCTAGGGAGCGAACCAGGCTGTGCTGTTGAGTGAGGTGAGCAGCTCTGAGCAGAGAGACCCTGTCAGTGTTACCAGGGTGGGAAGAGACTCCGTGGTGCTAACTCGGGCAACCTGTGTGGCCTCAAGGTACAAACAAGACAGACAAACCAGGGCTTAAGGGGCCATTCTGCAGCCTGTCTCCAGTGATGCCTGATCCCCAGCATGTCAAAGAAAGTCAGGGTGAACTTCAGTTATGAAACAAAGAGGCTGGGTAATGATGAAGGATATTGCTTCAGAAAACCTTCAGGAAGCCGACAAAAGCCCGAAAGCAGGGAATTCATATGGTTAATGCAGCCCACAGTGAGCAGAATGGCAGTCACTTTCAAGACCCTATGGTGATATCAACAGAGAATGATTCCATAACACATTCCCCTAATGCGCAGATTTCTAACTACAGAAATTACACTTTTCACCATGATACCCTTCTACAACTTTCCAGGTTCCATCCTAGATCAACGCACTCTCTTCCTCTTTCCCCCACAGGGTGCTTACTTTCTCCTTTTGGAAGGCTCTGCCCGAATTTCAATGTTAAGAGCATGCGAGCAGAATGTTGCCTAGAGCTTTTCACACACAGTTATCTGTGACTGGCCTAGATGTGTTTGGTCCAAACAGGGTAGGAAACATGGAATTCTCCTTTGCCCAGAGAATTCAGAAAGAGGGACAGGGAGATCAGAAGAACCTGTGGAGTTGCCAGAGAGCTGAGATTTTTAGAATTGGTTCCTTCCTCTCAAGATCCGTTTGTTAGGATAGGGTAGGGTGACTGACTGCTGCTATGAATTAATTGCTGTGAATGATTCTAAAGTCTATTGAATAGTAGGAGATCAGAGTCCGACTACAGTTGAGAAAGTTTAGGTATTTTCTGTCTCCTTGGACAGAATAAAAATTTATCTCCTACCCGTTTCAGGCACTGAGACTTACTCTGCTTTCTCACATTGCAGGCTGGAAGTGGAACCCACCAGACCGACCTTCCTTTGCTGAGACCCACCAGGCTTTTGAAACCATGTTCCATGACTCCAGCATCTCAGAGGGTGAGAGCCCATGTTGCTTTATTTCTGAAACAGTACTGGAGGTTATCCCCCAGAGTGCTGTGTCTTATGGAGGGGCCCTTAAGGCTAATTAGCAGTGGAGGTTGTGATGAAGCTTAATTTCTTAATCATAAGTGAGTAAATATGTACTCTTTACTTGCTGCACAAATGCTGAATAAACTTTAGATGCATACCAGTGCAGGGGTCAGTATAGTTTAATTTGAGCACGAAGATGCCAAAGAGTTAATTTAAAGAATATTGTCTCCTCTATTAGAGGAAGCCTTTTGTTTCCCAGACCGAAGAATAAGGAATAGTGAGCAATGCTAAGAGAGAAAGATGTATATGCATATCACAGTCCCTTGCTGACTGTAGCAAGTAGGTCATGAAATACTATTCTACCAGGCTTCGTTTTTAGAAAGTGTGCCTTAATCTCTGGATTTTTCACATAGTTACTTCTAGGAGCAAATCTGTGCAACTCAACTCTCAAATATAATCAACTGGGAGGTAAATACTGGTGAGAAGTGTGATACTAGGCAGCAGACAAGCAGAAATGTCTGAGCATCTTCTGTATTTTTAAATTAAATGTGAAGCTGATCCATCCACTTCCCCACTACAGAAAAAGCCCACCAGATGGCATTCTACCAGGGAGCATTGATAATGGGCACATCAGGTGGCCCACACAGATGCCAGCCTGGGAGTGGCCAGGAGGCTGATGTTTTTTTTTTTCTGTCTTTTTTCAGTCACATACCTTGTGTTGATGTTGGGAAGGAAACATGCAGTTGTCATTTCTAATAGGGAGGTGCGGTGTTTTGCCTCAAGCAAAGCAGCTTAGATCCAGATCCGGAGAGGTCACAACTTCTGAGGGATCCCAGGAGCATCAGCAGGAGGCACCTTAATTAAAGAGAGGCAAATGCAGTCAGTGCTGGCTTGAGCCCTTGAGCAACCTTTAACCCAGCAGAGAGATAGATTCCTACCAGACCTCTTGTACAGATCCTACCACTGGGGTTTTTTGCTGAATTTATAAAGATGTAAATGATTTTGGAAGCATTATGAAAAACATCTTGCCCTGAATACCTCTAGACTTGAGCAAAAACTAAATCGATAAACTACGTATTTCTCAGTCACGCATCTCTGCTTGCCAGTCTGGGTTTGCAGTAAAGACCCAGATTTTCTTTTCCTCTTCCTCTGTCAGTCTCCGTTCCAACTATTCCCTTTTTGGTTTTGTTTTCCCTTACAGAGGTAGCAGAGGAACTTGGAAGAACAGCCTCCTCCTCATCCGTAGTTCCTTACTTGCCCCGGTTACCCATGCTTCCCTCCAAGACTAGAACACTGAAGAAACAAGCAGAGAACAAGGAGAACATTGAAGGCACACAAGACACTGTGGAGCGCACGGCTTCCAGCTCAGCACCAGGTATGGGCACTGGGACAGTGGCAGGGAGGCCACGTGTGCTGGGATCGGCTTGCTGCTGGTGGAGACGGGCAGAGAAGCAGAAGAAAACAGAACAGCGTGACGTGGGAAGGTGCTTTGCGCTGCTGTGTCGGTAGGGCTGTTGGCCACCTCAGCACCCCAATTATTTACTAGCAAATAGAAACCTCTGCAGCTCGTTCGGTGTTCTTTTAGTAAATCCCATGGTATTTTTTTTCTTTGAAATTTAGTTTCGCTGCTTTTTTTAAAAGGACAGCTTCAAAACTAAAGTTGACAATGCAACAAGAGATTTTCTTTTATACTTGCTGTATTTGGGGAAGGAGGAAAAAAACTAGAGGAAGGGAATACGAAACTGGAAGAAAAAAGGCAACTTCACTTTCTCCTAAACTCTCTCCTAAGTAGGGTCCTCGATACAGAAAACAGACAAGTCACACATACAGAAGTGGAAAAAAAAAAAAAGTAAAAAATCAAAATCACACCAGCCTCGCACAAAAACGAAAGTTCTAACTTCCTCCCTTAATCTCTCTGCAGAACCTGGGCAGCTAAACGTGCCAGGCCATAAAGACACTGCAGGACAGGGAGGTGGAAATGGAAGTTGATTTTTGCAGACTCACATTTGTTTCTTCTGTCTAGGTTTTATCAGAAGCACACAGCCAACAAGCGGGTCTCCCGCGCTGCCTCGCAAGCAGAGGGACAAGTCACCCAGCAGCCTGTTGGAGGATGCCAAAGAGACCACTTTCACCAGGGACAGAAAAGGGGGCTTCTTCAGCTCCTTTATGAAGAAGAGGAATGCTCCCACACCTCCCAAGCGCAGCAGTTCCTTCCGGGAGATGGAGAATCAGCCCCATAAGAAATACGAGCTGACGGGTAACTTTTCATCTGTTGCTTCCTTGCAGCATGTGGACGGGTTCTCTTTTGCTCCCACGCAGCAGGACGCCAGCCTGGCGCCACCCAAGTGCTATGGTGGGGGCTTTGTGCAGAGGACCTTCTACAACGATGATGGCACTGGTACCAGCAGTGGTGGGGGTGTAAGCACCGGTGGCGGGTGGTCGGGCATCACTGGTTTCTTTACACCACGCTTGATTAAAAAGACACTGGGTTTACGAGCAGGAAAACCCACTGGCAATGAAGAAGCTTCAAAGCCTTTTCCAAGGTCAAACTCTACATCTTCCATGTCCTCAGGGCTTCCAGAGCAGGATAGGATGGCAATGACCCTTCCCAGAAATTCCCAGAGGTCAAAAATCCAGCTGGAACGGACAGTGTCCACCTCCTCTCAGCCCGATGAGAGCACGGGGAGGGCCAATGACCTGCTTCCCAAAAGGTTTGAAGAAGGCCCTGCTTTGACCAGAGAGAGACCAAAAGCAAAACTCTTGCCAAGGGGTGCCACAGCACTCCCTTTCCGAACCCCCTCCAGCTTGGAAGAAAAGGAAGGTCCAGGGCTAGCAGCAGCTCCTAAGGGCAAAGAAAAAAACAGTGGCCCACGGCAAGGGGCCCTTGAGGATGGCGAGAGACCGGGGTGGTCATCTCCAGTAAAGGCTGCAGCAATACTTCCAACCACTCATAACCACAAAGTGCCAGTTCTAATCTCACCCACGCTAAAACACACCCCAGCAGACGTGCAGCTCATTGGCACAGACTCTCAGGGTAATAAATTTAAGCTCTTATCTGAGCATCAGGTCACTTCTTCCGGCGACAGGGACCGGCCCAGACGGGTAAAACCAAAGTGTGCTCCACCTCCACCACCAGTGGTGAGGCTCCAACAGCAGCCAGCTGCCTGCTCGGACGGAGCAGAAGAGCTGAGCAACGTGGCGGGAGCGCAGCACGGACTGGAATCAAGCGAAGGGAGTAAGAAGGCAGCAGCAGCAGCAGCACCTGTTGGTGGAAAATCTGGGAGGCCCATGGTGCCTCCGCCTCAAGTGCCTCTGTCATCGTCTTCCACCTCCCCAGTGAAAATGGCCAACGGCACGGCCGGCGCCAAAGTAGCGCTTCGAAAGACCAAACAGGCAGCCGAGAAAATCTCCGCGGACAAAATCAGCAAGGAAGCACTGCTGGAGTGCGCAGACCTTCTCTCGAGTGCCATCGCCGAGCCGACACCGAACAGCCAGCTGGTGGACACCGGGCACCAGCTGTTGGATTACTGCTCAGGCTACGTGGACTGCATCCCGCATACGCGCAACAAATTCGCCTTCCGGGAAGCCGTGAGCAAACTGGAACTCAGCCTGCAGGAACTGCAGGTGTCCTCGACAGCTGCTAGCGTCCCCGGGGCAAACCCCGTCCTTAATAACTTATTGTCATGTGTCCAAGAAATCAGCGATGTGGTGCAAAGGTAGCTACTGTCAATCTGGGTAAGAGAAACACACCCGGGGAGGGCGGGGAGGGGCTTTTTTTTTCTGTACTGATGCTTTCAAAAGGAAAGACTGATACTTGAGTATGTGAAGTACCTCAGATCACTGAGTTCTCCTCACGTTTACAGGTTCATCTCAAAAAAATGGGGATGGAGAGGGTAGATTAAATCTGTAAGGGGCAGAACATCAAGTATTTGCCCCTCCCTGGTCAGGCTGATCTGCTTGGGGCAGGCAGTTCCTCGCTCCTCCCTCGGAGAGGCAGGAGAATCGATGGCAGGTCCCCGCTTTGGGAAGGATGGTTTGACACATGCTGGCTGGAGTCCTGGAGCGGCTGCAGGCCGCTCGGCCGTGCGGATCCTCCCCTGCCTGCACTAACGGGTGCCTTGGTCTCCCGACGAGGCAAAGGCACCGGGGCTCCGTTGGTACCAACCGCCGAGCAGTCCGAGCTGGAGGAGCTCTGAAGGGGGGAGGTTGCGTGCGGCCGGGGGGCAAGGTCTGATGCACTGACAGTATTCAGAGCTGCTGGAGGCGGGATGCACTTGCCGAGATGGCTTACTGCCACAGCGCCGCTGCTGCTGTAACGAGAACTGCAAAACGAGTTAATACGTGAAACCATCCCTCTTCCCTCCCGTCCACCTCATCCACCACGTGTTCTCATCTTCATTGTATCCAAAGCGTCAGGGATGCTGGGCAGACTTACCACTGGAATACCCCCTTCCCCGCCACGCAGCCTTCTCTCAGTTGATTTCTAGTGGTCTAGCACGGGTGCTGCTTGACGGTCATTTGTGAGTAGTTTGGGGCTCTTGCACAACTTGCCAGTGTTGTTAGTGGGGGGTGTGTGTGTGTGGGTTTGGTTTTTTATTTTTTTTTTTTTTAAAAAGCTCCAGATCGTTTATTAACTTGTTACCAGGTTGACTCCCCAGTTCAGTGGCATCACCCTGAGGACCCACGGTAGGTAAGGCAGAGCTTCCGCCACCCCTGGCTGTTCTCCACCGTGCCCTGAGAGAATCAGGGGCCGGCTGGAGAGCCAAAATCAGAGCCTGGCCTGCCCGCCGTGCGCCCGCGCTGCTGCGGGGCCCCCCTGGACCCGTCCCTGCTCTCGGTGTAACACCAACACTTCACACTGTCAGACTCCTGGGATTTTTTTCTAGCGCTTACCGGTCTCGCAGGCTTTCCAGCGAAGGCGATGAGGTATGTCAGCACACAGGGGAACCACAACCATTTGTCTTTGTTCCTCCGTTTTAAAAGGCTAGACCAGAATCTCACGCAGTGGCGCAGGGAACGTGCACATAAACCGCACGCTCCTCTTGAGACGTGACAGCAAGTGTCACGGCTCTGCCTCGGAGAGCTGCCCCCGGGTTATGGTCTCTTGTGCCCACTGACAGTCCCAAAGGAACGCGGTCCTGTGGTTGGAGTTGCCTTCCGTGGTCCTTGTGCTGTCTGTAGACTGTTGTGGCCTCAGAAAGCCGGTCTCCTGCCTATACGCACAACCCCCCGAGGTGTAAATGTACTGGCAGGTAGGAAGACCTCAACTAACTGCTGGTTTGTGAGAGGAAGAAAACAGGCCTAATGCCCAGCCCCAAATCCACGTTACCCTGCATGCTGCTGCTCACTTCACACTGTTGGTGATGATAGAAGATCTCGCTTGCTTTGCACCTTAAATCTTTTATTTTTGGCTAAAATGCTTTTTTATCTTGTTTTTAAAGTGTGACTGTGCTGCTTTTAGTTCGAGCATTTAGAGTGGAGCTGGGGCACAGGTGTGAATTTAGAAGATGGGCGCTTCCATTTCTGTCTAGAAGCATGGCCCTGGTGGTGCTTGGAAGTAGGCAGGGCTGCCTGTTTTTTTCCATGGAGGATAGTGAGGCAGGGGCCTGAAAAATCTTTAGAAATGGGCTGGTGCCTGAGAATCCTCATTTTATTACTGGTCTGTGGTAAACGAAGTTGTGTCACGATGCACGAATGCGCACGGGTGGAGCAGTACGCGAGGTAAAACGGACCATCTCAGCTTCACTGTTTATGTAAGAGAAATGGGGAGGGGGTGGGGAAAGCAACCCTTCCACCCCAACCAACAGGCATTAAAGTGAACTCATTGTTCCTACGAGTCAGTTTTGCTCTGGTGAGCTGTGAGCTGGTACCTCTGTGGAGACAAATGAAAGTACAGCATGGGTTATTCATCCTGACTTAGCCGTACCGAGCCTACCCACCAACTCCTGCCGTAGGATCTTCACTTTTCAGCCAGCCCAGGCTCTCCTGCAGCCCACGCCGGGGCTCGGGCACAGCCACGCTCAGCAGAGACCCAACCCCTTATCTCGTAGACTTTACCGAGGGCTTTTGTGGTTTACCTTATCTCTTTCCGTCATCTTTACTGAAGGTGTGCGTGGCTGCACACCAAGCAAACTGCCTTTGGAGAGGTGACCTGCAAAGGGAAGAAGGCTTGTGGTATTGCTTCACGTGGCCTTTCAAACAATCAAAAGGATTTAAAAGGCATGGGAGCTTTCTTCAGGGCAGAAGGGCAGGTTGTGTTTGCCCTGGCAGACAATCGTGTGGTTTCATCATTGTACTACTGCTCAGCCTAGGATAAACAGACTGAAACCGAAGTGATTCTCAGGGGAAAGGTATTTTAACCAGAAAATTTTAAGGCTGTTAGTCCAGTTCTGATGAGTGTTTTGAACGTAAGCCTTTTTGTTTGTTTTTTGTTTTTTTTTTTTTTTTCCTGAATGCCAGTCTTCCAGAAAAGCTCCAGCAAAAGTGACAGAATAGCAAACAATTCCGAGCATTTCTAACTACTAAAACTCCCCGACTTCCAGCCCTTTCTGAAGAAACTTAACTGTGCCCCAGCGGAGGCCTGGTTCCCCTCCACTGCTCATCCCCGCTCGCCTTTCAGACCCTGCCTGGTTTCTCCTCCCCGCGGCAGAGGTGAGGGGCAGTAACGCAGCTGCCGCAGGAGCCGTCGGCGTGGACCAGCCCAGGCTGGCTGGGACCCCCGGAGGTGATCTGGTCCAAGCAGGGGGGGCTAGAGCCGCCCGCCCGGGACCACGGCCCCATGGCTTTTGGATATCTCCAAGGATGGAGACTCCACAGCCCCTCTGGGCAACACAGAAGCCCATTCGGTTCTGATCCCTCTTGTGGTGGAAAAACCACAGGACAGTGGAATTTGGGGATTTGCCTGCCCTCACTCCTGTGCAGTGTTTTCTCACATCAGGTACGTAGATGGTGGCAGAGGTAGTGCTGACTTGACACGAGGGGATTTTTCCCCCTAAACGAGAGGCTGCAGTATTGCTGCTGCTCGTGCTGCCCAACAGCGTTTTATTCCCAAACTGGAATTGTTCCCTGCCCTCTGGCAAGATAGCAAAAGGATGATACCTGGGAAAGCTGGTTCTGCTTTAAATCACCATTCAGTTGCTCTGCCTTCCACAGTTACTCTCCTGAAATTGTTACTGTCCCGTCTCCATTTTGCTAGGTTTAGCATTTTGTTCAGCCTTAAAGGTCTCTAGTAGCTTTTTTGCTTTCAGCCTTGCCCACTGCGTTCAAAGTATCGTAAGGGTGGTGGGGCTCTGCTGTTTGTGCCAGTGAAGAGCAGCTCTTGCTCCAGTGTTTAGGGTAGCAGACAAGGCATTGACTCCTGTTGGGTTTCCTTTCCTTGCCCCCAGGATGCAATTGCCGCCTGGCTGTCTCCCTTGCACTAGTATGGACTAGAATTTCATGGAATCACAGACTGGTTTGGGTTGGATGGGACCCTAGAGACCATCCAGTCCCAACCCCCCTTCCCCGGGCAGGGCCCCCTTCCCCCAGCCCAGGGTGCTCCCAGCCCCGTCCAACCTGGCCTTGAACCCTCCCAGGGAGGGGGCAGCCACAGCTGCTCTGGGCACCCTGGGCCAGTGTTTCACCACCTGCACAGTAAAGAATTTCTTCCTTACATCTAATGTAAATCTACTCTCCCTCAGTTTTAAACCATTATCCTTTACCCTATCACTACCTTTCCTGATAAAGAGTCCCTCCCCACCTCTCCTGTCCCCCCTTTAAGCCCTGGGAGGCCGCTCGAAGGTCTCCCCGGAGCCTTCTCTTCTCCAGGCTGAACCCCCCCAACTCTCTCAGCCCGGCCTCCCAGGGGAGCTGCTCCAGCCCCCCCAGCATCTTCGTGGCCTCCTCTGGCCCCGCTCGAGCAGCTCCGTGTCCTTCTGCTGTTGGGGGCCCCCGAGCTGGCCCCAGCACTGCAGGGGGGGCTTCCCAGAGCAGAGGGGGAGAATCCCCTCCCTGGCCCTGCTGCCCCCCCCTGCTCTGGCTGCAGCCCAGGACACGGGTGGGTTCTGGGCTGCAAACACACATTGCCAGCCCACACTGTTTTCCATCCACTACTACCCCCAAGCCCCTCTCCTTGGGGCTGCTCTCCAGCCACTCCTCGCCCAGCCTGGGTTTGTGCTTGGAATTGCCCCGACCCACGGGCAGGACTTGGCACTTGGCCTTGTTGCACTCCATGAGGTTTGCAGGGTCCCCCCTCTCCAGCCTGCCCAGCTCCCTCTGGATGCCATCCCTGCCCTCCCGCGTGTCCCCCACCACACAGCTCGGGGTCATCGGCAAACTGGCTGAGGGTGCCCTCGATCCCACTGTCCGTGTCTCCAACAAAGATGTTAAACAGCGCCGAGCCCGACCCCAACCCCTGAGGAACACCCCTCGTCACTGCTCTCCACTTGGCCATGGAGCCGTTGATCACAGCTCTCTGCATGCGACCATCCAGCCAGTTCCTTACCCGCTGAGCAGGCCACCCATTAAATCCATGTCTCTCCCCTTTAGACAGCATCGAAAGCTTTGCCCAAGTCCAGGTAGGTGACAGCAGTTGCTCTTCCCTTATCGCTCAGCGCTGTAGCAGGCCACCAATTCTGTCAGGCACAATTTGCCCTTAGTGAAGCCACGCTGGCTGTCACCAGTCACCTCCTCGTTCTCCACGTGCCCTAGCAGAGTTTCCGAGAGGATTCACTTCATGATTTAAAATAGTCTTTGCAACTGGGGATGGCATCACGTAGGGCCTGGTAGTGCCAAGCACAACGCACGCGCTCACACGAGTGAGCTGACGGGGCGCTTTCTCTTCCTGGCTGCTGGAGGGAATTGGCCGACTCACTGGTGCAATTCGCTCTTGCTCCTGTCCCGTACACCCTTTTCAACCCCAGAAGTGGGGCACTCGGCTGCCTGATGGGCAACGCTTCAATTTAATCATAATCCTCATTAGTGCGGACAGGGGTGAAGCTGAATTAAGAGTCCGGGTCTGGGGACCACATCAAGTTTAGCTGCCCGGGGATGCGGAACCGAAGGGAGCAGCGTCACTGATGCAGAACACGGGGGGTGGGAAAGGGGGGGTGCCTCTGATCCCATCCTCCTCACACAGGACATTTCTCCAGCCCCCCCGCCAGCGAGGCACCGTCACACAACCACACACATGCCGACATCCCCGGGGCGTGCTCACACACGGGTTTTATGGCACGCTGCTCCCCGCAGGCACCGGGAACTAAACCCCCCAGCGCGGGGCGACGGCGGCACCAAAACCGCTGCACCAAGAGAGCAGCCCCTCCCCTCCCAAAAAGGGGGGACGAGGGGAGCCCCTCCCTCGGCTCTAAGGTAGAACAAAACCTTCTGCCCCTTCCCCAGGGGCAGGAAACAAGAGTTTATGGGACACCTGAGTGACTTATAATAGTGACACACTACGAAATGTCTGTACCAAAGGAGGTCGTTCTTCCCCATGTGCCTGTTGTGCACAGGAGGTAAAGCCCGATCGGCTCGGCACGCTGTTTGTATCGGGAGTGAACTCCTGGAGGGCAGGAATGGATTAAAACGAAACACGTTCGTCACCAATCACTCTACCAGTGTTGTCAACTGTTTTTGTTTTTAATTGTTATTGTAATATATTTTGGTTGTTTTTCTAATTTAATTCTCTCACTATCGTCTGACTGTGAACTGCGAACAGTGTTAAACTTGATGTAAATAAGGCCCTTGGAAGGGCCTCTTTGCCTGTCGTTCCACAAAGTTTTGCCAATTTGCATTTTGTTTTAAATAAAGGTTGCAATATTTTATTGGCAAAAACCTCTTGAGTATATGTTGCTTTTTTTTTTCTTATGGAATATTTGAGCCTGTTCCATACTAACCTGAAGTTTCTTATTTTGCATAGAAAAGTCAGGATTACTATCAACCTGTTAAAAAGAGAAATAATTTAATTCTGCCAGGTTGCAAATAAAAGCAGTGTCTTTATGTATGCCTTTGAATGCTGCCATGGAGTGGTCAGAGGAGAACGGTTCCTGCTGTTGGGGCTGTGTCACCAAATGCTCACTAAATTCTGAAACACACACGTGTGACCTGGCAGAGCGCAGGGTCTCGCGTCATTGCTTTGGCGGTTGCCCTCGTCACCAGCACCACCATCACCAGTCACCAAAACTGCTCACCCGGCCAACTTCATCCCAGCCCGGCACTGGGGAAGTGCCTGACAAAGCGACTCCCGCTCCAAGCAACATCAGTCTAACCCGGACAGCTGAAGATTCTGTTTTATTTAAAAAAAAAAAAAAAAAATAATAAAAAAAAATCACAGGTTATCCTGGCTTCTACAACCTTCTGGGCAACTCCCCTTCAACTAACCAACTCCCCTTCAACTAACCAACTCCCCTTCAACTAACCAACTCCCCTTCAACTAACCAACTCCCCTTCAACTAACCAACTCCCCTTCAACTAACCAACTCACCACTTTCCAAACTTTCAGCCCAGGTTATAAAACCCAGCCCGAGCTGTGCCCGTCTGTGGGGCTGCAGCCTCCCTTCCCCGGGCGCGTCCCCCTCTGATGTTTCCCGTGCTGGACGCTTCTGATTAAGAGATTAACCAGAAACCAAGTCTCAGAAATGCCCGACAGCGCCCGCTGGCGCAGGCCCTAAGGTCCAATCTGGAGGCCACACATAAGTTTAAACTACACCTTTGCAGCAGCTGAGCAGTGAGAAAGCAGCTGCCTCTTCTCCCTGCCTTGGACTATGAAGCCTCGTTAGGTAACGGCCGGCGTGCCCGGAGGGAAGCACCAACTCAAAGTCTACAGGACTAGTAAGCGTGTCTGGTCAATCTTTTCCCAGAGGTCGTGCTGCTCATCACTGGCACGGCGGAGAGGTTCAAAGCTTAAAATAGATCCAAGGTCCGCACCCGGGGTGGCCAGGGAGCTAAGCCCTGTCCTTGGCAGGTCCCGTTTCACCTCACCGCCCCGGCACAGCTGTGTTGGAAGGGAGTTTTGACCTAGAGGTCACAAAGTGATTCCCGTAACACTGTTGAAATTTTTTGGTCCTGCTGTAACATTTTTATCACCTGGCAAGTACCCAGACAGCAAACAGCCTCTCAGTGTAGTAATGCTGATACCAGCCAGGAAACCACAGCATACAACGTACTAAAAAGAAAAGAAACCCCAAGCTTGCTGCATCCCTGAAAACCCAAATTCAATTGCAGCCTGTTCCTTCAGCCACCATCCTCCTCAACCACCCTTTGCCCTTCAGAAGGCAATTGGTATCCCCACCCTTTTCATTTTTGTGCTGGTTTCAGCTGGGATAGAGTTAATTTTCTTCCTAGTAGCTGGCACAGTGCTACATTTTGGATTTGGGGTGAGAACAGCCTTGATAACAGGGGGCTGTTTTAGTTACTGCCGAGCAGGGCTCACGCGGAGCCAAGGCCTTTTCTGCCTCTCACCCCACCAGCGAGTGGGCTGGGGGGGCACAAGGAGCTGGGGGGGGGTGGGGGGGGTGTGTCACAGCCGGGACAGCTGCCCCCAGGGACATCCCACACTGTATGGCATCATGCTCAGCATAGAGGGCTGGGGGGGGAGGAGGAAGGGGGGGACATTCGGAGGGATGGGGTTCGTCTGCCCAAGTCACCGTTCCGGTGGCGGAGCCCGGCTGTCCCGGGGAGGGCCGAGTCCCTGCCGGCCCACGGGAGGTGGGGGACGGATTCCTTGTCTTGCCTTGCTTGCGTGCGCGGCTTTTGCTTTACCTATTAAACTGTCTTTATCTCAACCCACAATTTTCTTGCTTTTACTCCTCCAATTCTCTCCCCCATCCCAGCAGGGGGGAGTGAGCCAGCAGCTGTGCAGGGCTTACTTGCTGGCTGGGGTTAAACCACAACAATTTTGCAGTGAAGCGAACAGGCCCTTCATCAAACTGCTTCAGAACATAATTTCAGTAGAAGTTCACCTCATCCCCACAGCTGCTTCCATACAACGAAAGACTCCAGTGAGAGAGGGACCCTCCAAAGCAAGAGGCAATGGATTTGACATCTCCTGAGGAGATTATTCAGTCGTTTTCTCTACACGAGAGCCTCCCTGCACAAACTGTGATCCTGGCACGGGCGGCTCTGAGCAGCAGGCACCTTGTGAATGCAGGAGAGCAACAGAGAGGAAAAAAAAAAAAAAAATATATACTCGGCTCCAGCAAAACAGTTCTGTGCAATCTTGTGAAGTGACAGAGAAAACTGGGGACAGGGATGAGGACGTGGCATCCGCTGTACTGCCTCAACAGGACCAGTCCATCCAAGGCCTTCCTGCACTGCTTGGTAACCAAGGGCTTGGCCAGCCCCACTCACACGAAACAAAGCACCGGTCAGCACAACCAAATCACTGCTTCAGGCTACTACCTGATAAAAGAAGGGGCTTAAAGACTGGACAGACTTCAAAAGCAGCCAAGCGCAGGCTGTTCCCGTGCCCCAGGAGCAGGGGTGGGTGAGGTGTGTCCCCTTCCCTGCAAACAGCCCTGGGAGCAACAAGGGGTCGGGGTCTCTGTCCGTCTGCAGGTGCAGGGCTGGGGAACCTGCCTGCCTGAGCTGCTGCAGGAGCAGCTCCTAGTGCATAGAACCACCTTCACCCCCGGTGCAGTCCCACCTGGTGTTCAAGGAAGGAAGTAATTGATGCGCTGGGTTACAGATTTGCAGCCCTGGGCAGAGAAAAGCTTCTCCTCTTTGGGGACAAACACCATCATCCTGGCCACCTCGTCCAGGGCTGCCTCGGTGTACGGAAGTCCACGGGCCAGGAAAGCATCCCGCGCGCAGAGCTTGACGTGGTGGTACTCCAGGGGCAGGAACGGCACCAAGAAATCGATGAGATTCTCTTCGAGGAGGCGGCTGCGGGCATAACCGCTCTCTGTAGCAAAACACAAGACAAGACAAACTTCAGGAGCTTCACCCGAGAGCTGGCGTCCCTCTGCGAGGCAAGGCTTGGCTCTCCGAGGGGGCTGCCCACAGCGCCCCGCAAAGCGAGCCCGGCTCTTACCTTCAGGTTCCTGCAGCTCCAGCCGCAGCCGCTGCTCCAGGAACTCCATGGAGATCTCCTCCCGCGCCCGGCCGGCTCGCCAGAAATCCAGGGCTACCTCATTGATGATGTTGCCGCCGAGATTGCTGTGGACACAGAAGGGAAGTCACTCAACCGTGCTGCCAGAGATGAATGGCCCAGAGCTGCCAGCCGCCTCCCCTACAGACAGGCCTCAGCAATTCTATCATCAACAAAGGATTTGCTCTGTAGGATCAGCATGTGAAATATCAGCTTTCTTTCCCAAAAGCCCCTTTCTGTAGGCATCTATACTTCCACACTGCCAGCTCAGACTCTGAGGCAGCTTTCTCTCCCAGGGTGGGACCAGGAGCCAGCGGAATCCTCCTGCCCTGTCCTGGCTGCGATGCCATCGACCTCGCAGGTGACTCTTGGCTCCACACCAAGCTCTCAACAAGCCAGGGCTGAGAGTCCAAGTCAAGAGGGCAGAGCACATGGCAGGGGTCCCACCAGAAGTAAAGGTGCAGGGCAGGGATTCAAGCGGCAGCCCGGGACTTGCCCGAGGGACCAAGCAGGACGGTTCCCACGCGAGGACTCCTCTGGACACCCGCTGTGGGGGCAGCTCCGAGGTGGGGGGACATGAGGTCCTGGCAGTCCCTGAGGCTGCCAGGGCAGCCCCTCACCTTGCAAAGCAGCTCAAGGCCAGGCAGCCCCCGAATGCTGGTTGAGGGGTTTGCAACAGCCTCAGACAACAACCCCCAGCCCCGAGCGCCCCGTCACCAGTGAGCTGGTGAGACTGGGAACCAGTTGGCTGCAGAGCTGGTGTAGGTGGGAGGCAGAGAGGCACAGATCTTTGCACCCAACTTTCCTCTTGTGTCAGAGGCTCTGGACCCATTCCCCAAATGGAGGGGAGGCAAAATTAAAAAGCCGTCCCTGTCTCCCTGTCCCCACCAACTGCCTTGTTAGGTGGGGAAACCGCTTGTACCGATCCTGCTCCCACCCAGACCACGGGAGAAACAGCCCCTTTTACTGAGGACGGGCAGCCAGTTCCACCCCACCCCCACTCCCCAAACCCAGCCAAAGCTGCAGGACCAGGCCAGTGTCCGAAGGAGCCCTGGGGCAGAGCCAGCCCCCCCCCCCCCCCCCCCAACATATCTGTGTCACACTGCCACCGGGTACGATGAAACCCTGCCAGGATTACACACGGCTGCAGTTCGAGGCACCCTGCTCCTCTCTGCTTGGTGGCACAAAGGGGCTGATGTGTGTGTGTCCCCTCACACCTGCGTGGCTTGCCAGGTAGGACACGAGGTCAGCTCAGCCGGCAGCAAGTCCACCCTGCCCCGAGCAACAAGGGAGAATCTGCCGCCTCCCCCGCGGCTCCTGTCAGAGGCCTGGGCAGGCAGGACTTGCCAGAGCCGAGCTGAAGGCTGCAACTCCTAAATTTAAGGGGGGGTCCAAGCTGCTTGTCTCTCCTCGGCACGTCTCACTGGCTGCTTCAGGCATGTGCCTACCTCGCATCTCGGTTTTGAGATGTCCCACTTGTCCCTCCGGGATGCATCCCACCTGGGCTGGGGTCAGGGACGGCGCTGGGGTGCGCACGTGCCCAAGTCTCCCTTTGGGTGGGAAAGGAACCAACTAAACAGCCCCGGGTGAGCTGATGCCGGGACCAGCCCTCACAGCCCAGCCCGCAGCCGTGGCCAGGCAGTGGGAACTCCCCCACTCCCAACTAACAGTGCCACATCACACGAGAGCTTCCCACCAAAACCTGGCGTACGGGATCTCCCTGCTCAGCCGTGCAGGGTGACACCATGCCAGCTCTGACTCTCACTGCTTCCTTGGCTCAAAGCCTGGCTCAGGTGTCCCAGCTAAGCTGGACCGCAGCTCCTCCTACAAACGCCCCGTACCCGGGGAGGATGCCCAGCATCAATAAGCAAAACTGACCACGGAGGCAACTGCCTCTTGGAGGAGCTGAGCATCTTTCCCCTCCTCTGCAGCCTGAGACCCTCATATCGCGCACCTCGGGAGATAAATTCCATTGCTTTGTTCCTCCCTGTCCCTTCAGGGGGCCCAGAAATCACCTGAGGAAGAGGAAGATGGATCTCCGGTAATCCACCTGGCCCTTGGTGTCGGAGCGAGCCATGAAGGGCTTGATGGCGTCCAGGAGGCTGAAATGAAGTTTCTCTGCCTCATCGAAGATGAACAGGGACTGCTGGCAGAGCTGCACAGTCTCGCTGATCTGCTTCTTCAGCTGAGCCTGCAGAGCAGCAGGGAGGAAGGTGAGAAGCCCAGCAGGTCAGCGGGCAGGGGCTGAGCCCGGATGCCATGGGCTATCCCCGGCTAAAGCACCACGCAGCCACTTGCTCCTTCCCTCTCACCCCGTGGGATAGGGAATGGGAAGAGAAAAAGCAAGAAAACAAGTGAGTCAAGATAAAGATAGTTTAATAGGTGAAGGAAAGAGGAAGAAGAAATCAAAAGCAAGTTATGCTAAGGCAGCCACTCACACCTACCACACATAGACTGCTGCCCAGCCAGTCTCTGAGCAATGGCTTCCTACCCCAAAGCCCCCTCCCCTCGGTTTTTATGGCTTTTTTTTTTTTTTAAATGGTAAATGGCATGAAATCTCCCTTTGGTCAGTTGGTATCAGCTCTGTGTCTTGTCCCCTCCCAACCTCCTGCGCACCCCCAGCCCACTGACTGCGGGGACAGAGTGGGAGAAGGAGAAAGCCTCGAGGCTGTGCAAGTGCTGCTCAGCAGTAGCCAAAACACCGCTGTGTTAACAAGAGTTTTACTCACAAATCCAAACCACAGCACCGTGTGGGCTGCTGCAAAGAAAACCAACGCCACCCCGGGCAGACCCAGTACACTGGAGCATCCCCACAGCGGTGTTGGCTCTCACCTTGTATGAATCCACGTACTTGTGATGGGGGAAGTGGAAGAGTGAGATGAACACCCTGACACACTCGCTCCTCAGCCCGTCCCGGTACAGGTGACCGGCCACCATCCGAGCCACAAAGTTCTTGCCTGTGCCAGACCAGCCGTGGAAGGAGAGGACCAAAGCCTTCTCTGGCTGCGGGCTCTGCAGGAACCCTTGCACCGCCCGCGCGACGATTTCTTTGGCCAAATGCTGCCCGTGGAGCTGCCCGTTGAGGTCTGCTTCCAGCCCTGCGGGGAAGGGACACCGAGAGCTCAGCCTTAACGTGCAAGCCCAGCCGCTGCTGCAGGTGGGAAGAAGAGGAGAAAACGTGGCAGGGCAGTAAGGCCACAGGGCCCTGGCTGGCTGAGAAAAGTCTGAAGTGGCATTAAAGCCCCAGGGTTCATCAGACAAGCTGCCCGCATCGGCCACAAATTTCCCGTCGACTCCTTTTTCCCTTTGGGAAGTGGGGGAGGTATTTGGTGACCGCCCCAAGGCCCTCATGAGCTCCCACCAAAGGGAATGGATACCAGGAGGCTCAAGACCAGCAAAATGCAGTGACACCCACGCGGGGCTTACACGCAGCTCTCGGTGTTCCCTCCTGACCTGGGGCTGGATACTGGGCCAGTTTGGGTCCCACTGCATTTACCTGGGAGCTACTGGATGAAGGCAGGGCTCGTGGCAAACTGGAGCAGATATGTTGGACAGCAAGGAACAAACTCGCCTGCTGCCTCAGAACTACAAATCAATAATGGGAAACAGGACTTAACTCAGCCCCTCACCCTCCCACCAGCTCAGCACCCTGCTCAGAAATGCCCTTTACTTACACCATTTGCTAAATTAAAAAAAAAAAAAAAAAAGTAAAGAAAAAAACCCACAAACAACAAAGGAGACAACAGGGAGAGGCAGCAGAGACAAGCACTGCTTAGGGTCTCCCAGGCACAGCGCAGCACCTACCTGTGAGATTGTTGATTATCCTGCAGTCTCCTGTCTTGCAGCACTTGCCGAAGCTGCAGTACCAGGCAGAGAGGATCTGCAGGTAATCCTGGCCCACCAGAGGCAAGCTCCAGCCTGGAAAAGGCACCGGTCTGAGCAGAGACGTGCCAGCAAGTGTCTGTTTTACATTTTGTGTGGCCGCTCAGCTGAGGCCAGTTAACAGCAGCCCTCCTCCCAGGTGCAGGGACTCAGACGCTGCCCCGCCAGGCAGCTGGGGCTGCGGGGAGGGGGAACGAGCACTTATGGGGCAGCAGCTAGTTCGGGGGGGGGGGGGGGGGGGGGCACGGAGAGCCATACTAGGTGCCAGCACGCTCCCCACCGCGACATACATGTTTGTGGCAACCTGAGGCACGCCGGGGAAGGAGGGAGATGCCCAGGGCAGTGACCCTTGGGAAGGGAAGGGACAGCATCCCCGGGGGCTGTGGGCACAGCCCCCTGTGCTGGGGGAAGCCAGGCGTTTGGGACCCGCTGCTCTTTCTGGGGCACGGGAAAGGGAGAGAAAGGAGGAACGTGCATACCTGGGCTGGACTGTTCTTCCTCCTCCTCCTCTTCGCAGCGCTCCTGCCACACCTTGCACGCCAGGTAGTGCCAATACTGCTTGGAGAGAGCACCCACAGCTCCCAAGTGCTGCTTCACTGCTTCGTACCTCGCCCTGCCCCACCGTCCCCCCTCCACCACAGGGCCCTGCTCCTCCTCTTCCCCCTGCCCCCATGTCATCGCCCCCCGGCTCCCCAGCCCCCCCGAGCCCCCCAGCAGCAGCAGGAGGCAGCAGGCCAGCCCCAGGCGGGCCGGGAGCCTGCCCTGGCCCATGGCAGCGGGGTGGGAGCAGACCCTGCCCGGGTTCTGCTGGGTGTCCGCAGGCTCCCGGCCTCCCTTAAACCTCCCGAGCCGTGATCTCACTTCCTGGCCGCCTGCAATTGGGAGCTGCCGGGGGGGAAAAAAGCAGTGGGGTGGTGTCACCACCACACCAGACACGGCCTCACGCCCGCCTGTCCCACGAACAGAGGGCTCCACCGGGCTCGGCACGCTGCAAAACCCGACCCTGTCCCCCCAAAAGGAGGCACCAGGCACCCCGCCGGTCCGTTCTGCACAAAACTTGGGCCCCGTCGCCTCCCCCCAGGTCCTGCCAACCCTCGCTGGGAGGGCAGGCGAGCGGCTTTCCCTTCCAGCCAGGCTGGAGAGATGCCCAAGGAAGCTCCCGCAGAACCGCAGCCTTCCCTCCGGCCTCCGCACCGCAGCGCCGGCAACAAACGCCTGGGCGAGGCAAAGAACCTGGTTTTCAAGTAGCTTAGCTGAACTTTTGTTGCCACAGATACAAGAGGCGTTGGCAGTTGTTGTTTGTCGGGGGCATTTCTGGGGGGGGGACACAAAAATCCAAGGCACAAAGACAAGAGCTGGAGGCAGCGGAGGGAGCTGCGCTGTGCTGCGAGTTCAGCTTTGCAGTTAGACCAAAGCTCTAGGACAAATGGTTTTGTTGCAGGCTCTGGGATGGGCTTGCCTTGTGACACTGGGTGTGTGTTATTCCTCACTGACTCCAAGACGTGCTGCTGTTTACTTTTGCATCAGTGCATCTTCATACGCCACCCAAACCCTAAGACAGGGAGGGTGGGCTCCACTCAAGCAGCCGGGGGGGGGGGGAAAAAAAAAAAAAAAAAATCCAATCAGCACAGACCCACCATGAAATTGCCTAACAAGAACTGGGGTACAACTCATTACCACCACTGAGCTCACCACCACCAACCAGTTTTCTCCAACAAGCTGTAAAGCCCCTCCTGCACGGGGAAGCAGCGAGCGCAGTCGTTAGGACTGGCTGCCCGTGCTTTGGCAGGAGATTCTAGGATGCCATGCAAAGCCTGGCTTTGATTTTGGAAACAGGTACACCTCCCCCCCCCCCAACTCAGCTGCAGGGGGGACATGAAAAGTGGATAAGCCCCATATAACTTGCATTTTACCTTAAGGTGTACCCACTGCTGGCTTACTATAAGAGACTAACACCTCTATGACATACGGAGCATCAGGACAAGACCACCTACTACTTATCCTAACTGAGATGAGGCCAAGATGCTTTGGACACGGAAGGAATTTCAAGGTTACTCCACGTGCTCAGAAAAAATAAAATTAAGAAGGATACTAAATGCAGTTCACCCAGCCAGGCAATTCACTCGTTTGGGTGGATGGGGGAGCGGGATCCAGCACTGCCAAGGCATGGAGCGGAGTTTATCACCATCTACAGGTGGCTATAAATATTACACACCAGCATTACAGATACTGGTATTAACATAATTGCCCCCTGCAGCTTCAAAAATAGTGAGGCTAAAACCTTAACACCAGTTGCAGTAACTTAAACAGAAATAAAACCTGTGCACATAAAGAAAAAAAAAAAAGCACAATTAAAAATCGAACTCATTGTAGCCATCGCAAATTAAACTGCTATCAGCCTTTCTGAAAACTAGTCGAAGCATTTGAATTGAAGCATTTATATACATTTAAAAAAAAAAATTCATAGCTGTAACATTCAAACTGCCCTCCAAGGGATAAGTGCTTTAGCTGAAGAGAGCTTATCAAAAGCGACAGACTTCACAAAAAATAGCTGCTTCCGTGCTCCAAAGCGTAAAAGCAAATTCTGAAAGATAAAATGACTGACTGCCCAGCCCCACAGCAGCTCCGTGTACTACAGCACGATAGCTGGGACATCAGCTTTGCTCCAGTGCAGCACATCACAAGAGCTAGAGAGGAAAATAAAAGTAGTAGTTCAGTAACCTGCCAACTATACCCTGTTCGACCTGGCTCTGAGGTTAACACAGCAGTCAGTGCTTGCTGTGATTATATCCCTCCTCTTTTTTTTTTTTTTTTTTTTTTTTTTTTTCTTTCTTCCTCTGCTGGATCTCACTCACTCGCTCTAGGATTTGCTAATCTTCAGCTGACAGCCTTGCAGGGATCTGCACGGCCCCGAAGATGACACCAGGCTTTTCACCTCACGACTGGTTATTGCAAAGCGGTCCTGGTGAGCAGCAACCACCTGATTAAAAATCCATGATCTCGGTTCAAGCCAGGTCTTGCAGTGCAGGTATCATCTAAAAAGAAAGAAGGAAAACACCACCACGAAAATGTGCTTATGTCTGGCTTATTCAGCACCCTGAATACGACTTGGTACAAGCAACACTTGCAATCCAGGATTTTATACTACGGGCTGTATTCGCTGGACATGGAAATGCTGTGCAGCTGTCCTTTTATGTTTTCTCCCAGTTTCCATCCAGCAATTCCTTCTGCAGATCCAGAGGTGGACTCTGACAGACGGCAGGAGGAGGGAGAGAGTTTCACTCCAGCAGCTCTGTGTAACACAGATATGGATTAGATCACTAAATAAAAAGATCTGGAAATAAAGGATGTAAGGGGAGTCCTTTGTCCTCCTCCCTTTATTTTTTTTTTTTTTTTTCCCCATAAAGTCCTATCCTCAGCCTCTTAAAAAATATTGGGAGATTCCAAGAACAAAAAATAACATCAATTTCACACATGGGATGCATGAACTAGTAACTTCATTTCTAATTTTTAGAATCAATAAAAGTTTGTAGAGAAAGGAATTCAGGGAAAGTGCTAATTTTCAAAACCCTTTGGTTTTCCCTTGGCTCGAAGTTGTTTCTATTCATTCTTTTGTAAATTTATGTTCATTACATAATCAGAAACCCTTTAAAATCTTCCAGTTATATGAATTCTCACCCTGTTACTAAGGCCAACCACTCCAAAATTACATAGCAGTAATACAACAAAGTGCTTGTAAAAAAGCTCTCAAAACTAGCTATTTCAGACTTTCAAAACTTAAAAGCATCTGTAGTTTCTGCAAGTTGTTGAACTGCTTATACACAAGCATGAATCCTGTCCTGCTCCCTGAGCAAATTGGCACCTCAAAAATAGAGACGGAGAATATGAAAAATTGTCACCACACAATGCTAGGAGACAAAAAAAACCCCAGAACATCCTCCTCCCTAAAGCCCCCAAAATAAAACACAAAAAACAGTTCTTTGAAAATTCAGCGATATCGAAGTCCAAAGTTTCAACTGAGAAACTAGTTTAAAAAAAAAAAAAAAAAGCAGGGGCCTTTGGCTGTTTCACAGCACCCCGCCGATGCTGCGGGCCACTCCTGCACTTCCAGGAGCGGCGCAGAGCCTCGGCGGTTTCGGGGTGCCCTGTCCCCGGGGCCGTGGTGGGGCTGGCAGCGGCTCGCGCGGACCTCGGGAGCACACAGCTGCTCTCGGCGGCTCCCAGACGCCCGGCACGGCGCCACCTCCCACCTCTGAAAAACTCACTGCAGTGGGTTATTAAGAAAACAAGGTATGCAGGCAGATGAAACCCCTGCACTCAGTGGGAACAGATTTCGATGGCTGTTTACTTGCCCTGTCTCATAAAAGGGCTTCAATAAAAGCCCAGAAAAGCCAACCACGAACACCTGCCAACCCTACAGACATCTCTGGCCGACTCAACGTACGTCCCTTGCTCCGTACTGCGAAGCCAACCTACTGGGACACAACCAGGAAACCAGCCCAGGTGGTCTGGCAGATGCAGGGCCACGGGATGCACTTCCAAAAGCTGTCTGAAGGCCACTTAAAACGAGGCGTGTTCTTCTTTTGTATCACTTTGGGACACTCCTTGAACACATTCTTCATTACCGACAAGGCTCTTGTAAACAACCTGCACTTCTGACTTGATTCCTGGAAATACATGACTGGAATAAATGACATCGATAACTATTAGTGAAGGAATAACCAGGAATTGTTGGTAGCAAAGCAGATTAAACATTCAGCCCAATAAATGCTGGAACGAGAGAGAGAGAGAGAGACTTAAACAATCCATCAACGTTGCTTTATTAAAATCTTTATTCACACAATGTTGCTTTATGCAGTATCTGACCCTGGGGAATACAAGTAGAAAGTCATGATTGCATTCTGTTTTCTTATTAGCAACCTCCATTTGTGCAGCTGCTCCCAGGGGCAATCCTCTGACAGCTCCAAGAGGGGTGTCTGCTTCGAACATCTTGCTCCAGCTGCCACAGCAAATAAATTACCTTCTTAATAAATTAGTATTTTTCAGTGGAAGTTTGTTTGGCAAGACACACTCCAGTTCATTAGCTGCTGGAAGAGGAGTCGACTTCGGTGTCTCCTCCAGCCTGGCTGCTGACTTACGAAGGAGGAGATAAATAGCAGATGGCTGATGATGCTCTCTTTTTAATTAGTTCTTGATTTCTGTGCTTCAAGCGCTCTGATATTACTAATATCTGCAACACAACCATTTTGTAACATCTGGAGCCGGCAAATTACAGTGCGCGCAGTGAACAAGAATTAGAAAGTGTCATGAAAACCTCATCGACAGAGCACAGCACCTGCCTCACAAATGACACTACTTTTCAGAGATTCAAGTAGACCCTGTTTGCGTGTGGGTGCTGCTTCTTATTTCTTTTGCAAGGGTTACAATTTAAAACTTCTCAGGCATTTGTATTCAAGCAAAACAATCATTGCCAAAATGCCAGAGATTATCACAAAGCCAAAATCACATCTTCCTGATTTTGAGTAAGAGAGGAATTTATTCTTCTTTCCTGCTGCAGAACACCAAGCTCCAGTGGTGCCTACAGTGACCAGAAGCATCAATATTTAAAAAAAAAAAAAAAAAAAAAAAAAAGCAACCGTTTCTTGCTTCCTTCTGCTGCTGATGCCAGACTTCATGCTCTTTGTTCCCAAGTAAACCGATATACTGGTTTAAATCTCTGACACTCATACCAGGGGAAAACTTATCCTCAGGTTCCATCTGACAGCAAATGCTTCAGCTTAGAGCCTCTTGAACAAGCAATACATAAGTCCTGAACACTAATTTAATTTAATAAAGACAGAAATACTTTTTTTTGGAATCCATTATTAAATCAAATGTAAATGATCAGGAGCGATCACACAGAAATCAAACCATCAAATTCTGGTAGATCCTTCCCAAAATATTAAGTGCTCATGATTAAGCTCAAAGAGAAGAACACACTTTTTAAAATGCTACAAGCCACTACTATGTGCTTCACCGTCTCCCCTTTGTGTAGATCATCTTCAATCTCCTGGGAAACGGTTTATGCCGAAATGCCTCAGCATCAACCCATCCTGCTTTAAAAGAAAAGCCTTCACTAACCACCTAACTGTTGCCCACAGTACTTCCCCAAAACGTCTCGCTCAACCACCGAAACCTGACTGCCAGCCAGGGACCTGCCACTCAGCCCACTCGCTTCTGCCCTAAGAGAACGCGCCGGGGGTTAAACTCACCCAAGGACCATGGCTTCTAAATCCTGTGTTGTATTACCCCCTCCAGCAATAAACAGGCACTAGCTTCACACCTGCATCCTAAAAGCTGGCTGTGTGTTACAGCCCTGACTAGTAACACCAACAAATAACCCCAGGTCCCACCCTGACTGTGGGCCGGTCTGTGATGCAGCCCAATCCAGAAGAGAGCTAGAACACCACAGAAATCCAATTTCAGGTAAACAGTTGCATTCTACTTTCAAGATATTCTGCCCACGCAATGAAAAAAAGACTTCAACAAAATAAAACTGCATTTTTTTAAATAAACTCTCTAGCTAACACCTCTTTGATCAGATATGGCAGCAGAAGCATGAACAGGAAACAGCTCTTTATCTGCCCATCGTACTCCTGCAGAGCTAGATTTTGACACAAAAATCAAGGAAAAGGTCTTAACCTAACATTTTGCTGCTCTTGCTCGCAAGTCCCATAATGCATAATCACTTTGGGAAGTGAGCTCTTTCCTTACTTCTAAGGACCATACTGCCTGAGCCAAAAATCAATGCAAAGCTGTTCATTTGGAAATGTAACGACGAAGCTGCTTCTCTTCAGGAGATGCAGATTCAGACCTACCACAAGTGTGACAAGTTTTATGGCCGCAAGCTCATCCGCCGTGCAGGCTGACACAGTGCTGAAGGGTGACAGGACTAGCACAAGACGAATGCTACAAGTCTGCCCTGAAAAGCCAACTTACACCAACTCCCCCCTATCCATGGCAAAACCTTTAGGAGCGAGGACCCCAGGATGACCACACCCCAGTCAGGAGATCGCAGTGGGGGTTGCAGGAAGCAGCTGGGGAAGGCAGAAAACTTACTGAAAGTGCCCACGGCTTCAGAGCTCAGCCACAAGCCAGGCCAGGTAAATGGTGGGACTGAATAAATTGCTGACGTTCCACAAAACAGCGGCACTGAGCTGCGGTTACAACACGGAGCAGCAGGAAGCTCTGTCCACGTGAGATGAAGAAGAAAGACCGCAGCTCAGGGCTCGCTCCACTCTTCAGGGCCTTGCCCACAGCTGTTGGTTACTGGGAAGTCTACAAATACATCTCTCTTTCCCCAGTGCAACACGCTCAGGTTCCTCACATTAAATGATAGGGCATACAGTAAGCAGCGTGGCCTTGCTAACCAGAACCTGTTTCCAAGGACAGAGTCTGTCCTCCTCCTCAGCTACAATATAATGAAAATTCAGTTAATATGGACTGCAAGGGTACTTTCTCTACTCAGACCTTGCCAGATTCCTTATAAATGGAAAACAGTGACAGGACACGTGGAAACTTACTTTAATCCCTTAATTACCAAGTGCTGCATAACCACCCTGTCCTCCCCTAAATCTCCAACCCTGTGGATAAATCTTTGATAGGACTTCAGCGAAAACACTGAAGCATTATCACATGTGAGGCAAACCCCTTTTCCAGCCTTTTACCGAGGAAAAGACAACTGAGCGGCAGAGGTCCCCTCTCCCACCCCTAACGGCATTCAGAAGAATATCCCACCCCCCGGGGGGTTGGCACAATTCTTCAGTCTAATAATTATTTTATTCACCACTTCCTCTTTCTCTAAAGAAGCAGTAAAAATGCCTAACCAGCTCACAGCTGATTATGTACAACCCTGAATGAGACAAAGACTCGCAAGAGTAGATACGCGGGGAAGAGAAGGGGAGAGGATCGTGCTGTTCGTCTCCATTTGTCCCCTCTAGGTCCAGTCCACAAAAAATTAAGTGTCTGTATTCCACACACTTCCACCAAGAGCCATTTTTATCCAGGGCAATGTCCACTGCCGGCAATGGACACACCACAACGGCCAAGATGCCATTCCGGGTACTGAGCCGTCCGAGGCTCCGACCTCCCACCTCTCAGTGCTGCCAGCCCAAGGTAAAAGCCAGTGTCACCTCTGCTCCTCCGGCTTGGAAGCTTTCCTGTTCATTCAGTCCATCTCGGCCACGGCCTTTCCGAACTGATTGTGCTGTTTTTCTATCGCTTTTTTTGTTTGTTTGTTTGTTTGTTTTAAAAAGGAGTTTCGTCTCTGTTCCACTACAATTACAAATGAGACAGAGTCATCCTGTCTTCCACCAGCACAACATCTGGCCCAAACTGGTCTGTGCATTGCTTCACTGTAGCCAGGATGCTGAGCAGCCGCTGGTCTAGGGCATCCAGGTGCGGGTCAGAAAGCACTGGTGAGATGGGGTCATGCGACATAGCAGTTTTTAAGGCAGACTTCAGTACTCCATTCTTCAGGTAATTGAGCCTGTTCCAGGTAGAAACCCGGATGCTGCAAAAGAAACAAGCATGTCACCATACCGCTGTCCCGCTGAAGTCCTGCCAGCAATACCAAAGCCAACCTCTCGAGGGAGGTGGTTCCACCCAGATGGGAGCCTTACTACAGGCGTGGTGCAGGGGTGCGAGGGTCTGGGTGTAACTGCATTATGTGCAATAGCTAAGGCAAACTTGAAAACTGAAGGTGAAGAAGACAGACTCTAGTGTGACTTAGTTCTTATGTCATACAAGAACACCTTCAACTGCTAGCAAGGAAGTTCTTCAGTCCTGAAGCCTCCCGGACACAGTTTGAAAAGGAAAGAAAAGAAAATTAACAGTCTGGTCTGTTAATTCAAACACAAACCTCACGTCACCTCAGGAAGTGCATCACTGACCAATGATTAATCACAAAGGACAAACGTCAGTTGAGTGACCTTCCAAGAAAGGAAACACAGCAGTGATTTTTCTGCTTCATTAGCCATTGAATTTGTTCACGTTAGCCCACCTAAACTGTCTTGATCTGTGAAGTCTCTTGGAATTCTCCCCCAAATTTTTGTGTTTTAGTACCACTGGTCTAAACTCTTGGCTTCCGATGGCCTCTAAAGAAACCAGCAATATAAGCAAGTGTTGTAATAAATCTATAGGTAAAACAACTACACACATGAATTCTTACATGGCATTTGCCTGGTATGAGAAAGAAAGGATATCTGAAAAGCACGAAACTGCAAAGTCTCTTACATTGATAACCAGAAGAGAAGTTTGCATTTGGGAGATGAGAAAGACTCCAAAAGATCCTCATAAAACAGAAAAATCAAAAATGCATTTAAAATTAATGTAGGAAAAATAAAGAAATTGAAAATAATTTACTTTAATTGGTCTCCATATGGATTCTGCAAGAATCTTCCAGAATGTAGGCCAGGTGTACTGCAGCATGCACAGAGCTGTGCTTAGCACGAGCAGGGGGTGAGAGCTCAGGCTTTCTGCAGAGTTCCCAGGTCCCAAGGAATTTGGGAGACAGAACCCTCCAAGGACAAGCTCAAGGATCAATCAACTAAATGCTTAATTTGTAAGGCTTAAAGGAGTTAATGTTATCTTGAAGTAACAGATGCTGGAGAGAGATGTATCAGTATTTTTCTTCCTGGTACTTCTATCTATTTGTTAATGAGAAGTAGCAATGGCGAGAGAGCAGCCACAGAAAACAGAAATCAACAAGTCAGAGACTCTAAAAATAAAACTAACAAAAAACACAGCTCCCAGGGCCAAAGTGGAAACAAAATCCTGCAAAAACCTACAAACTTCACTTGGAAAGAAGCACTCTCAGAAGTGCTACAGTCTTGTTTAGAAAGAACATTTGGAAACGAAGGCAAAGTTTCCAGAAGCGTCGAGTCCTTAGCTTCTGTCAGGGAGAACTCAAACTGTGATGTGAACTTTTATTCTGCAGGACCTGGATAAAGACAGCTGCAGACGTCACACCTGTCATATTGACTAAGGATAGATTTGAACCAGTGACCTGGAGGCGAGACTACCTCCTACAGCCTACCATCTGATTTACTACCTTAATAAAAACATATTTCTCAGCTTCTTGAGCAGTGACAATACATCAAACAAACACAGTACCTCAAAAAAGGAAAGCACTGTGTACCCGAACGAACATTTTCAGGTCACCAGGCGGCTTCAAACTTAATTATATTGCAAACCTAAGGACAGCAGTTGCATAAGTAAAGCGAACGGCATCCCTGCATTTCACTTACATGCAGCACTGATAAAGCGGAGCCAAGATGCTTCTTTCATCCAGGGCAGGGTTTCCAAAACTGAAAAGCAAAATTAAAACCAAGTGAACCAGTTGAACTCCCAATCTTGTTCTCAACATCAATGGATTTGTAAAGAATCCCCAAAAAAATCAATACGAGGCAATTTCATGCTCCAACAGATCAAATAATTTAAATTAAAATATAAACAGGCCGTGACCAATTACAGATATAACTCTCAACAGCATCAGCTAATGTACCAGGTAAACGGAAGCAACATCAGCATAGCTAGTTCTTTATCAGACCAAGGCACCTTAGATATGAACTTTAGAGGAGTTTAGAAATTGAGCTCATCTTGTGAAGCAGGGAAAAGGAATAATTGATATTCTGGAAATAGAGAGTGGGAGCTTTGCGTATCTGACACAGCTGGAGAGGGAATGAACAAAATAGCAGCCACTTGCTGTTTTAGATGGCAAAGCTTAAGTCAACAGTTCAAGTAACAAGGTGATCAACTTTAAAATTTCATGACCACACTTTCTAAGGGAGGCCTGCCAAAAGGATTTCATAGTATTTCAAGCTTCATGTAAACACATGCTTTTTTTTTTTTATAGTTTCACCCGCCTCATAATACTGTTTTCAACAAAGAACATTCCCCTCAATAAAGGTAACTTACTCTAGGAGTCTGGCATTACTCTGCTCAAATAATTCTGTTATTAGTAGCTTTAAAACTCAAATAGGCTCCCCAGGGAAGTGGTCACAGCACCAAGAAGCATCTGGATGATGCTCTTAGTCATATGGTTTAATTTTAAGTAGTTCTGCAAGGAGCAAGTAGTTGGATTTGATGATCCTTATGAGACCCTTCCAACTTGAGATCTTCTATGAGTCTATGAAAAAACTGTCCCTCTATCCCTTATCTCAAAGGAGCTGAAAGACCTTTACTTAAGCTTTCAAGAAAACAATTTCTTTCTGGGCCTGTAAAGGCCCACTGGAAATGTTTTCATAATGTTATAAGCATCGTAATGAAAGTTCTGACATGACCTTCAACTACCATATTCACTTCCAGTGACTAATACATTAACTTCCTCCTAGCACATTACCAGAGCATTATAGAAAGACAATCTTTGCCAAATTCACCTAAAGCAGTCTGAAAGCAGAACTAATTAAGCACTCCCAAGGTGGAATGCATCCTGCTGGCATAACTGAAGGAATGTTATTGAACAGGCTGATGCGTAAAGACAAAATACTCAAGTTGGCCACTGCAGACAAATTAGAAACAAAGGAAGGAAGGAAGGAAGGAATCCACTATACAAAAGGCAAATGGGGAAAGAAATGCTAACTCCAAGTCTTCCACAGACCTGTCTAGGTCAGAGGCCTCAATTGCTGCGTGCACTTCGTACAAGCAGTGTGCAAATCCACTGCAGAGCAGCGCCTGGCACAGGAACCACCAGAGCTAACCATCAGAAGCGGGCCTGGCACTGCCACCACGGATGGTAGGGCCCATCAGAAAGGCACAACTCAGGAATCTCTGGATTAAATCCCGAGGAATTAGAATAGGTTATCTCTGGTTTTAAGAAAAATAAGCAAATTGTTATGATTTAAACAAGGCTGTATCTTCAATAGGATTTTAAACGGAAACGATACCAGCGAACATACAAAAACTACAGCAAAGACAACAACTCACATTTTAAACATAGGCACATAGTGAAGTTTGGCCTCAAGAAGGGCTTCTCATCAGTTCTCCTCAGTTACTACATGCTGCATTTTTGTTTCAACAACAGTTGATGTCCACACTCAGGATATCATCATATTTTGCTCTCGGTATCGGTTCTATCCCCATTTTAAACTCTTAATCTTTTAAAGCCAGCGAAGACATATCCAGAAGGCAGGGAATGCCAAATTATTCATGGGCACGTCTTGAAAAGATCTACTTTTACCATGGCACTCACTAATATTCACTGGTAAATAATAAATCATAAGTTTTTAATCTTCCATTAATTAAAAGCATAAAAGGGAAGGGCTCTTCTGGGGATAGAAGGAGACACAAGCAAACGTTTGAAAGATGCTTGGGGAAGAAAGGTCATACTGTGCTAATTTGGGTATTTCTGTAGTTTGAGTAAGACTTTTCCCAAAGCAGTCACAGTATCTATAACACAGAGTAAGCACCACAGCCTTTGAAGGACCCTAATATTTGGTAAGTAAATTCTCATAAGAGGGAAAGCTTTGGATTTTTAGCACAAAAGGTATTAACGAAAAAATTAGTGGGAGAACGAAACCAGAGAGATACAGAGCAGATTAATGTGTGCCCTTGTGCTCGCCACTGCCTGGCCACCAGGATTACCCTTACTCTCACCTTTTGGCATTATCCAGGAGGATGAGCATACTGGCTCCTTCATCATCCTGGAAGCTCTCATAGTGATGCCGGTCAGCATTCCCAATCAAATAGTCAAAGATGGCGGTGTCAATGATATCGAGGAGACGAGGGCCCGAGTCGTATGGTGAAGTCTTCTTCACGGCATCACAATAGCTTTCATCATACTCCCACCTGTGGGTCATCAAGAGAAGCCAAATCAAATCTTCAAGGAATGCACACCAACGGAATTTTCTTATTCACTTATGAGTGCATAAAGAAAAGGTGAGTGTAGCAGTCGAGGCTATATAAAGAAGGAAGAGCTAGACAAAAGCATTTTATTAAAAGAGTAGATCCTGTACTAACATCCTAGCGTATGTAGCAAGCTATAGTTTCAGTGCAAGGTTACACATCACCTTCCTACAGAAAACAAGATCAGAATTTGCTTCCTCACTGCTCATAACTCAGCAGTGGTTGGGTTGCCCCACAGCAAGCTTACTGTCATGACTTACCTCCGTTAATTTCCTAACTAAGGACTTCAAGTACTGTGCCTATTTCTAATGCCCTGACCTGCTTCCATCAGTCTTGCTTTCCAGCGATCCTCTTTGTTTTCTCTTTCTAATGCAAATAACCTCATCATGGTTACTAATGACCTCTCTGTCCCGAGGAGAAGGGCCTCATATATGTTCATTCTTCTTCACTGAGTTGTCTCCTTCCTTTCTACTTTCCTTTCAGAGTATCTCACCTTCTTCTCCACTAGCAAGATTTCAAGCTTGCCTTTTCTCTCCTCTCCTTCTACACATAACCTAGGTATGTACTTGTGGTCTTACAATACGGATGTCATGTCTCAATTCTCCAAAGACAGGATTTAAAAATTTTCTCATTTCCTTCCTTACAGTTTTCAAAGCTATTCAACACCACCATCAAACAGCCAAATCTCTGGTGTATATCCTTTCCATCTGCCAACCTAAATAACAAGTACATCTATAACATCTTCCATTTAAGGACTGAAACAATCCTTCACAAAATAGCAGTTAAGTTGGAAATGCCTTAAAACATCTGTGACTTGGAGGAAAATGACGAAATGGAAGAAACACAAGCTGGAGAGACTCACTGACATGCTCAAAATTGCAGAGTCATAAAGCAGGGAAAAGATCAGAAGGTAACTGCTACAACAGCCAATATACCCTATCTCATCTTATAGAGGTCTGAGCCTAAGCTCCCAATGTACCATCTTTCCTTCAGTTACCCAAATCAAAGTGGCCAAAAATTTACCTTCTCAGTGTTTTTGTTAACATATAACACACATTCTTCAAATGCTGTCTGTAGTTCCCTCTTTCTTTTGCATCAAGGTCCAACTCACAGCACAAATCCACGAGGCAAAAGTCTCAGAACGTACTCCTCCTGTATTGGATACATTTCTTTTATGCTACATTCCTCTCTCTCTCAAGTGTTTCTCTTTCTCTCCTTTTACTTTAGATAAGTACTTAAATCTACTTGCAACAATTTTTCAGATATACTATACTCCCTCTCCTCATTTTCCATTCAGTCTTTCAAGACAGACCTTTCTCCAACATTTATTTCTGATCATTTATATTGTATTAGCATAGGACTCCAAAGGTCAGAGATTTTATCTATTACATGTCCATAAAAAATTATGTACAGTTATATGACTATATGAATTATGTTCAAAAGGTCAACTCAGGACAGAGTAGAAGCAGCTAGATCAAGAAAAAAATCCCTACAGAGTTATTTTTCCATAATTACCAGACAGAAAGAAGAGAGCATGACGTCTAGAATGTTTAATTCTCCTGATGATCTCAAAGTAAAAAGTGCAAGACGACAAGGTGCAAAACAACAGAACCATGAGATCCCATCTGTATGAAGTAAGAGCAAGTAAGTTCAAAATACAAGGAATATCAAATCAGCATAGGTATCAGGGTAAACTCCTGTGTAAGCAGGCAGTTTATGATGAAGAACAGCCTCTCAGAAAAAGAAACACCTCCAAGAAGATCAGTCCATTCATTACTGTAATTCACCATGTACTAAATACAGCTGAGTTTGACCTGCTAGAAAGAAGTTAACAACTGCTGCTCAAAAATCAAACTGTACACTGAATACTCTGAAGCAATTCAATGAAGCTCTTGGATGAGACTCTGAGAACAACCACGTCGTTGGACATCAACAGGTATTTCGGATCAAGGACTAAAAATCTCTTTCCAATCACTTGTCCAGGACACTGACTTGGAAAAATTTATTAAGCTCAAAACCATTTGCTCTGGTCACGGCAAAAACATCTCCAACCCAAACACTAAGATTAGTGTCATGTCTACAGTACAAGATTGCTAGATCCCATGTTTGTCTTTCTCTAAAACCATTCTTTAGATGCTGAGCATGGTCACCAAATACTGATGGTATTTAAAGCAAAGAGGAACTTTTCAGCGTCCACCTACTCGAGCTAAACCAGCTCCACAACTCTTGAAACAAACTACAAGGATGATGAAATCAGGTCTGGCAAAAATAGCACAGTGCTACGGTATTTCAGGGGGCCACAGCGAGGCACAGTGACAACAGAAGGTCTAGTGGCACCAGAGAAGTGTCTTGGTTTGCCCAGGGGCAAGATTTTCAGAGCTTGGAGAAACTGCATGGTGGAGTGCTGTTCTAACCAATAAACAGGAAAAGGACAGCACTTAGTATTGTGGAAAACAATGAAGATTTCTTTCTTGCCCATTTTACACTTTTTGACTTCTACTGTCCTACACTCCTACACTTTTTGACTTTTACTGTCACATCAAGAAAGCTGCCAGCAGAACTCTGGGCTTTGAGAACACGTGCTCCTTAAATTAACCACAGTATTACAAGGGTAGTTCTAGTACAAATTATCACATACAGTGAATAATCCTATCATGTTCTCATACCTGGCAAGTTTGCCTTCACGGTAGGTCCTTCCCCAGGGGTGCCGATGCTTCTGAAGAGGCCAGACATCGGGTAACCACAGAGTCACTGACCCCTCCATGATGTCCCCGTCTGCACAGGCTGGTTCTGTTTCACGACAGTAGTAGCACTTCCCATAGAAGCAAGTGTTATTACCTTAAAAAACAAATAATAATAAAGAGGTATCAAAAGAGCAGAACTTAATCCAAGGGATGCCAACTGACAGTCAGGAGCATGTTGTTGCAGCAGAGCCTTCCCTGCGAGAGGATTTCACTGCACTTGACCTCATGCTTCCTCTCTCCGAGGGGAAAAGGTTCAAAAGAGATTAAACAGACATCTGTTCATTCAAAGCAACATTAAAGACTAATATTCAAAGGACAGAGTAATTATATTTTCTAATGTTTTTATCACACAGAGTTAATACAACACTGCACTATCAACAAGTTTTTATGATCCATTCCTAGTCCTTTGGACCTTGACTTCACAATCTTAGCACTGCTCGTTTTTTAAATTTCACACTTCATGTGTCAGATTTCCCCTCTTTTTGAAAACGCTGACCAAAAAGAGATAAGTGAAAAAAGACTAAGCAGAACTCAAATGGATTTGGAGCCCTGAGACCTGCTACATGTCTCAGTTACTTGAGCTGACTCAGCAGGGGAAACACAAAGAAGCTGTCATCCTTACACAATCTAGGAATGCAGATCTGTCAAAAGTTTCATAAGCGTCTTCTGACAGGAGAGAAACAACAAAACCCTGCAGTCTTTAGTCCATTAAGGTCTATGTAGCCTGTAATGTAAAGTAATTTACCTAGCCTAGATTTCCATTTTTAGCTTAATCTTTTCTGTTTCACCCTTCTAAACTGCCTTTGCCTGACCCTCGCCAAATTAATTCCAGTTCCATTCTCAGATATTTTTCAAAAAAATTCTTCAACTATGTCTCACTTTCTTGTGATTCCACTTATTCCCTGTACTTTCTTCCTCTGGCCCTAAAGCCAACATCCTCCCCAAGCCAGGCCCAGCTTTTTCCATCCTTACACATCACAATCCCTTGGCCAGCCAGCACGCCTTTGCAGTCCTCCATCTAGGCCCGGCTCTTGTGCTCCCACAACCCCAGATGGGCAACTTGAGGACATCAGAGAGATGATCATTAACAACACTGAGCTTGCAACAGACCAGACCTCTTATTTGAATGGAAAGCCCTGCAAGCCTCTCTTCCTATCCATGGCCTGCAGCAGGTCTAGCAAGGAACAGAATTCTTTGAGATTCTAGCTACAACTCTAGTAAATCTGCACTGAGTATGCACAAATTCTCATTTCTTCAAAACCTCAGAAACTTGGTCAAATTTGGGTTGACAAGAGATCACCACCTTTTCCCCAGATCCACCCACTTCCTCGGTTCAGCTCTATAAAACAGGCAGTTTCAAAGAACCTAAGGAAAGGCAATGAAAATTTCTGGAGCCATACTTTTAAAGTCAGCACTTCAGCTAGAAAAGTGCTTAGTTATCTTGGCTGAAATTAGAAAAAGTAAAATCTGCCTGAGGCAGACACCCAATCTGAATGCAAAAAGAGTTTGGCAAGGCTGAGATACTCTCATCTGAAAGTTACACCTTATAACCGAAAGTGTTAGGCAAACTTAGTAGGTGAGACTGCCAACAGTGCTTGTAATAAAAATATACACAGGCACACATATTTATCAGCTATAATGAACAATCACCTCTAGAATCTTATTGAAAAAAAAAAAAAAGAGTAATAATTGGATATTTTATGAAAACCTGAAGGAGTTACGGCTGCAGTGTAAGTCATTTCTTGGTGCTTAATGACCACCTGGTAGGAGTTCACATTAATAATTCCCATTAAGTGCCCTTCACAGCATTATTACTGTAAACAACGTACAGAAGTTCTGACACATTTAGCTATGAAAGCTCAGCAGACTCTGATGTAGCACAAACAACATTTAATACCAACCGACGCATCAGCTCTATAAATTACCTCAAATCACCACTATGTTCGCGTTAAAATACAACTCAATTTTTTTGCTTTCAGGTCTAATCATAGACTTTTCTAACCACCTCTGACAGCAGAGAGAAAATTCTTACTCAGAAAACCCCCCCATCTGTAACAGCAGCATGAGGGAACACAGAGAAGTTACAGAGGAAAAACGACTTGGAGAAACTCAAGCCCTCCTCCCCCGCCAAACAGGGTTATACAAGCGTTACAATCTCTCTTGGCACAGAAAGAGACTTACCAGCTTCCTGTATCAGAGTTAACTGTTCTAGAACTGTGTCAGATTCCCTTCTTCCCCATTAAACGCTTTTTTGTTTACTGGGCTGCACAATCCATGGAATCCACTTACCCACAGTCATGAAGGTACCCAGAAGCTGCTCTGTGGCTACTGGTTTGATCTCTGTACGTAGATTCACAAACCTGCCAACCACCAGTGGAGCTCGTCGGAAACCCAGAATTCTGATTTGGGGTGAAAAAACATGACATGAGAATTTGCAACACAGACAGCAATTCTAAATGAAAACAAAACAAAACAAAAACACAGTCTCAGTCTGAAACTGAGATGACTGAGACCAAAGAATAAAGTTGGAACCCTGCAGCAACCTCTTCTCTTCTCCCAGACAAAGTAAGGAAACTCACTTTTCTTAAGTTCCTGAATGTTAGACTTGCTTTATAGGCCATCAGCAACACTCCTCTATTAGAGCATTTGCAGCAGAGCAACACAGGATACACCATACTCCAACTCTCAGAAATCAGACCTCATACCAGAAATATCCATCATCTGTCTTGTGTACAGGCTGAAGCAGTAACCATATGGCCCTTGGGCTGGTCACCTGGAAAGATCATTTATAATTTGTGGGAATTACTATCTATTAAAATGTTATGTTTAAGCCCAATTCAATTACACTTGAAAGTAAACAATCTAGGAGTTATTTTGTTTGGCATGAAAGGGGAGAAGGGAAAAGTGAATGGTAGAATAAAACTGAACGCCCAAAGTATCTGGAAAAAAAAAAAAAAAAAAAAAAAAGAGAGGTGGGAAGAACAATCATAAAACTTGCAGTCACAGGATCCAGGCTCCACTCTCATGTCTGCCACAGACTTTGCTCTGTGACCACAAATGACTTGGGTACTGTAATGGAATTTTAAAAGTGCTTAAAGGAGGAGTACAAATATTAGTACAACATCAGCCCCAACTCTCTCAATGAACTTTTGATACCCTTTTGGTAATCTTTGCATCTCAGAAAAAGAGACTGAAAAGGGACTGTCCCTTCTGAAAAAGGGACAATCTACATTCCACAGAGGTACTGGGAGAGTCACTCTAACAGCTGCAAAGTATTTTTTTTAGATATTCAACCAGTCAGTCCCCTTCCATAAGTATAAAATACCTCTAAGAAAGGGCAATGCAAAATGCCTGCTTGAACAAATCACATATGTATAAAATTCATAGCCAATACAGAGAGTTATGTACAGCTTGAGAAAATGCAGGTGTTACAAGCAAATAAGCACAGAGCTTAAATCTGGAAAACCTGTCCCTGTATTTTCAGACCCACAGCTGACAGGCCACTATCCTGGATAGCACAGCCTCCCATTAGTGGCAACCACACAGTATGATTCAGATCTTTCTTGAAACAACGGCATTCTCAGACAAATTATGTAACTGTCACCATTCAAAACAAAGGCATGTGCTAAAGTTAAGTAGGCAGGTAGCTTCTGCTAGGTATTCTTGAAGAATATAGAGATGCATGCTCACAAAGAGAGGAGAAAGGCCAGAGAAACAAGCACAAAAACCACAACGAACTAGACAGCAGGGAAGAGCTAAGAAAGAGGGGTTTGGACACTGGAAAGGTTTTGAGTTGCTGTTTACAATGTTTGATCACTGCTTTTTCAGTGAAACCAACATCTGTATGTTTCTTGAAAGTACAAATGGGCAACAGACATCTGACTACTTCATCTTTTTTTGGTCTTAAGATGCCCTGATTTTGGCCTACCGCCTCAAGATTGCAACAGCAGCAATGGGTATTACACAACCAGTTATCACCAAACCTTCCTAGAATTACTAATTTCCATTGCCTCTGCAATGAGTTTCACAGATGAATTAGGACTAACAAACATATCTTTTACTACCTATGAATGCACAGGGATGAGCCTCTTATTTATGTACTGAGAAATTTAAGTTTAACTGTTCTACTCTTTATTGTATTTGTCCTTCCCTTGTCCTTTTCCCAAGATTTTAAGGCTCCTCACATAATTAAAGATGTGAAAAATTCTTATCTTCAGAAATCTTCTCCAAAGGGTCAACATAGTCCTCTTATATAGTAAGGAGACCAAGACTGCACTCATGAAGCTGCACCTCTAACATCCAGTTTTTGGTAGTATTTTCTGTCCCATTCTTTGTACATCCTGTAACTTTGTTTTTCTTCTGGTAATTGTACCTCCAGCTCAAATCCACAAAAGCACCTGGTTACCCCTGAATACAATTAAGATATGAATAGCTGGTTTTCCTCTAGGATGCACTGATTCATATTTAGGCTAGACTAAATTCTTAGTCTAGATATTAGGCTTAACTTTTTAGTGTACTGGACACTAACTTAGTACATACATTCAGCATTTCAGACTCTTCTACAGGATTTGGCTAAGCTCTTCCTTCCGTATAATATGAAGTATCAGTGGTTTCAGTGCTCACTCTCCTTATCAAATTTTTCACAAAAATCCTAAATATTAGAATCTTGCACAGATCTTTGAAATGAAGTTTCACAAAAAAGCTCATTTTTATTTTTGGCTTCAGTGTGTTATATTGGCAGGTTAGAAATAGCTCACATCTGAGGTGTATTCTTCAAGGAACAACTTTTTGCCCAACTCTGAAAAAAGCGTTTACCAGAAAACAATAAAACCAGGTACCATAATAATTCCATACCTATCCAAGTGAAAGGCTGCCACTTCTGCATTGTGTCTGTCGTAGCCAGCATACGGTTCTCCTTCCACTACATAGTCTCTGGCATATCTGTAATTGAAATAAGTAAAATAAAATGATTCATGAAAGATTTCCATTAATTTTGCTGTTCAGAGTAACAAGTGCAATAACCGTGCTACGTTAAACAGACTCTGGGTCATTTTCAAAATGATTGCCAATGGGAGAGGGAAAAAATATTAATGAGATTAAATAGCCTACAGACTGTTGAAATAGTAAATAAGGAGGAAAGGTCAGTAATGTACAGTGGTCTCAAGAGCTTGGGAAGCGGTGCCCACTGAAACTAATGAGTTTTAATTCAACCATATGCCAAGTCACATCTAAGAACAAAGAGCACAGACCCAGCTACAGAACAGGGGACTATTTATACTGGAAAGCAGCAACTCCACAAATGATTTTGGGGTTAGAATGGATTGTACATTAACATGAAAATACCATCTGATGTTGGGGAAGAAATGCCAAACACAGTCTTTAGTAGCTAGAAGATCAGCAAGCGTGAACCTGAGGACAATACGGGATATAAAGAGACTCTTTATTCTGGCAGATAAAAGACATAATGAACAATAAGAAATAGAAACTAGATACTCATTACAACAACAGTGGTATATTTTACTAAAGTGGTGGGCTTTTTCCCCCCCTTTTTTAGTAGATGCTACTGAAATAGTCAAGGCAAACACAAATTTCTGAGATTCACATTTGAATTGGGTCTAGCAACTGCTCAAGAAGCATGCTTCAGATAGGCACAAAATACCACAATCAATACTGAGCAAATGGGTGAAATGTAATACATTTTTAAATAAAGTAAGGTCAAATTAGATACCTATTTTCTCATTTCCATCTATGTGTCAAATTGTGTAAACTGTATTATTTCCAACACTCAGGGTTCAAGCAGTAGCAGCAACAGTGTAAGAGAAACCATAGTGCTCTACTTTGATGTTTTAACCCTGCTCAGAGAAGATCTGGGGCAAGACAACAGTCCATTTCATCAGCTTGAGCAAGTGCTTTAGCTTCTCTGCAAGGCAGCTCAAGAGAAAATTAATCAGTGCAGGACGGTGTGGAGTTTTGGGGAGGAAGATCTGACAGATTCCTGCCAAATTGTAATTTACACCAAACAAGCATCACCTTTCACATATACCACTAGCATGTGATGGTAGCACCTATTAATCATTACTAACTTAAGCTGGATTTCAAGTAATCTTGAAATGAGACAGCTAACCCTCAGAACCTATCCTTGTAGTCAGGTCTTTTGTATGTACTTACAGCAGGCTTCTGAAAACATGGTCACATTTTGAAAGCTGCAGGGCTAAAACTTACTGCTAAAATACAACCAAATTCTTGCCTCCATGCACAGTAGGCATTTAGTCCTTTCTAGAGCAAAAGTAACAAGAGAATTCATTCTTCCCCAACCAAAAAGTTTTATCAAGATGTTTTTTAATAGTAACCTTGTCATACCTTTCAGGTCAAAAGCTAGTTAAAGAGACTACCCTGCAATGACAGAGCAATATTCTACCTACAAGCCTGGCTATTCGGCAGTCACAAAGAGAACACCGGTCTACCAGTACGGCTGGGGCCATACTGTCTAGCACTCCTATAAACTGTCCAGTGCTCCTATAAGCATTCCCAGCTGCACAGACATTCCATTATGGAAAGGTATTTTAATGCTCAGTGAAGTGCTTTACAGCACTCACTTATACAGAAAGCACTATAGAAGTGCCATGCCTTGTTACTGCATTTATTGGACTAGCTGTCTTTGTACCACCGACTTCTGTGTGAAACCCACTGCTTAAACACATCCGAGCCCCACAGTGAAGCTCCAGCCAGACCAGTAATTGACCTTACAGAAACAGGTCTGTGAAATCAAGAAGTGGAGGGCATATTTTTTTTTTCCCCTCATTCTCTAATCATTCATTAACATGACAGAAAAACTTCATGCTTGCTCAATCCAATATCCTTTGGAGAGAGATGTACTCATTTTGTGATGACAACTCTTTACATTTGCAGCGCACTCCTATAAAACACACCTGCCTTACTTTTCTACATCTTTCTTCTCCTTTTCCCTGAAGGCAAACAGTTCAAAAAGCTTTGCAGACGTGCACAAGACTTCATAAATGTTCAATCATGCCAAATTTCCCTGCTGATCACCGCAAACAGAGGCCATCCCAAGTAAGTATCACTAGCTGCACATTCTTACGTTGCTCCTCCAGTGTTCACTATTGGCAGACAGGAAACTCGAAGGCTTTCACTCTGACCTACCAAGCCATTTTTACAGTCCTCGTGCACCTACACCAGACACCCAGATCTACTTTTATGACCACTGTCAACTTTCACTCCTTCCTCGTTCTTAAACTGCATTCCCTCATGGCAGTTTGACTGCACCCTCACTCAGAAAGAGTAGGCAAGACTTGTCTCCACACTGCCAGAACCTGCACTTCCACAATGAGAAAGACAGTGCTTAGAAACATCGGGTTTAACCAACATTCCCTCAGGACTGAACACAGTGATTGTTCTTTTAACCTCAAGACAGGCTGTTTCAAGCATCAAAGCTATCCAGCCTGAGAGACAGCTGGCACAGCAACCTAATGTTACTAGAGTGCTAGCAAGCTCTCTACTGTCTGTCATGCAAAAACAGAGGGTCTTTCCATTTATGTGTAAATTTGTAACTTAAACATTAAGACAACAGCATGGAGATAAAAAAAAAGAAATACATAGAGTAGTTACTACTTCAGTCATTGAAGGCAATGTTTACCTCTTGGGTTTGAAGACAACCTTCTGTCCTCCTTCAAGTATTAGCAAAGCTTTCAGTTGGGTCCCTTTGTATCCCACATCAGCTTTTATTATTTTCTTTGTTGTCATGGCATGCATAACAGCCCCTAGCTCGGGTGTCTCCTCGGGATACACCTCCCGGGGCACCACCCATTGGGCTGCAATCTCCCAAGGGGACTGCAGCGTATGGTCAAGCCGGGGGTCCAGTTGTACATGGAGGCTTGCCATCATACGGTGAAAAGCGCGCTGGTCCTCCCGGTTGGCAGCTGAGGTGTCCAAGTTGTCAATGAGGAAAACTTTTGTGAAAATGAAGATGACAAGGAGGATGGCCAACAGCACAACTCGCTGCTTTAGCTTCATGGTGACCTTCAACCCTTCTCCCCTGACCCTTTCTTCCAAACGTTACAGGAAGTCTCTCGAAGATCAGGGTGAGGAAGGGGATGTTAGTTAATGAATTTCATTCATAACTTGCATTGTGAAAGAGGTATCACCACTGAAGCATCTTCTGGTACCCCTAAAAATAAACAAAATACAAACTTACAAAACTGCATTCCATGCAGATCCCATCAAACTCAAGTTTATGCTTGGAACTTAAGTCGGCATTTATGTACACTTGCACACTACATCCCAAACATTTCTGTTAAAGCACACTGCATTTGCTGCCTTCCTGTAGCCTTTCAGTGATCTGCATGGAAGGGGAAATTCGCTGATAGCATTTCTACACAGCTCAAATCATAACAGCTGCAACTACCATGGGCAAGACTTTTGCAGAGAACTGTAGTTTAAGTTGATGGCTCCAATTTCACAAACACTCTTCCATCAGTAACGGAACCCATGACCTCTGGTTTCCCAAAGATTTGTCCCCCAAGAGAGTGCTCCTAGGTAGATTTCCCGACATCTGACAACTGGTAAGAACAGCTGCACAGTCTAGTTTCCTGAACGTACAAGACAGAAGGACATAATGGACTTGTTTATTGCCTCTCATTTGCTGCCACTATAATTTACCCATCTTTTTTCTATTATTTTTTTAAAAAGAAGGGGGACACACACACAACATCTTTACTTCCTTGTGGTTAACTATGCATCTTCTGCAGTCAACTGTAAAACCACTGACCACAAAAAAAAAAAATACAAAATATCTGCAATTTCAACATCAAATTAACAGAAAAAAACCCCGCCAAAACACTAACACTGCCTTTTCTCAGAAACCTCACCTACACCACAGTCAAAGCCACATCTGTGTTTCTATATTTACAATGGGTCGCAAAACACATCTCACCCAATAAGCCAGTACAGTGTTAGCATATAAGGACCACGTAACACACAGTTAATCAACTGTACTTCAATTATGAGGACAGAAATTATCTTCATAATATTAGTTGAATGTGGTCAAAACCCAAATGGAAACTGATCCTAAGGCACATCTCTGAGAAATGCTCAGAGCCAACAGGGATTTCTCTTTGCATGAGCTATGCTAATCATGAAAACCACAAATGGCACCCTGAGCTGTGGTAGGACTAATATAGAAAAGCCTTCTCATGCAATTTAACAATAAGCGTATAAACCAGTCATTATTAATCATGTCACGGCAAAAACAAGCTGCACAGGCTAAGTTAATTTACCAGCAGCAACCAAAGGACAGCTAGGCTCTGACTTGCTGGCCAGACAACAGATCATTGCCATCTTCAGTATCTGCGTGGACACTGTGCCCTGCCTGCGAAGGTCCTGGGGGGTACAATGGTCTGAGGGGCCTGAGAGTATCGCTGAGGTACATCTCCATCGAAGGTTAAGGCCGTGGCAAACAGCAGATGACAACATCAGAGGCACATCCTTTGAGCAAGTCCTCAGTGCAGAATCAGGTCTGGCACAGTAGAAGAATATGACTACAAAAGCACACGCAAGCACATGAATGAATCCACAGCACCTTAAATAAATTTACGTGAGGTCTATAGCTGACACCCTCCCACCCGCCCATCTCCCAGCTACGTGGCTCTCCTGCCTTCCTGTGGGTCAGTGTCAGCATTCATACAACCCGGCCGCAAGGTAGTTCATGATCCTCTTGCTGACCCACCCCAGCATTAACCGCCTTCCTTGGTTTGTGTGTGAAGCCCCTACTGCTGTCAGTTTTTGAGCTAACGCACAGTTTATCATCTGACTGCAAACCACCACTACTGGTGCAAGTCAGAGAGACAAGGGAGGGCGGTGGAGCTGCTCCGACAGCACGAGATGACCCGTCACGGGTCTACAAAGCCTACCTATCTGCAGAGGGGGCACCTGAAGCTACTCAAGCCAGCATTGTCACCCAAAGAATTGCCCTGCCCTGTCCTCCACGTACCTCCCACCTTCATGCAATGAACTCCATGAAAGGCCTGATCAGTGCTAAAGCTTGAACGTTTTTATTTATAAGTTCCTGGCTTCCTCCCTCCTTCTCCTGAATCTGGTTTCCAAAGCAGTTTCACAAGCATCTGAGGAGGGCACACCACGAGGTCAACAACAAGTGTTTCTCCTGGATGCAGCACTAGTGATTATATGTGCAGGTAAAACTGCAGCCCAGGCCAGCCCAACAAAGAATAAGCAGCTGCACCACTCAGAAACTGTCACAAAGAGCTCACCAAGAGGGACAAGGAATTTCAGTAACAAACTGTCAGATCTTCCTATTTCCAAAATCACTCTTCTCAGCACAGTGACTAAGCTGAGCACCACTCAACTTACAGGTGACACTCTGACAATGCAGAAGCATGGCTTTTTGCCCAGTTTACCATCTGAATTTTTTTGCCATCGTTGTTCCCCCTCAGCTGACAGGTCAGTTCAGTTTGGCCCTTCCCAAACCCATTTTGCCTCTTAAATACTTCCTATAAAACCTTTCTGCTGAAGCAGGAAAGAAGGTGAAAGTCTCCTCATAACAAGGAGTTAAAACTGAAATGTGAACAAGTGGTTTAATGTTAATAGCAACCACTTACAGCAACATAAAAACCACAGGCAGGGTGAAAGAAGGTTACAAAGTCTCAGGCTGCTTCAAACTAGTGCTATGGCCCCCTGTTAACTACATAATATTGATTTTAATCTATTGGAAAATAAGTGCTTGTGTTAAAAGTGAAAGACAACAAATCACATGTTTATATGGAAACTAAAACATATTATGTTCACCTTTGTTCTCTTTAGGCAGTCTGTGTTCCTCCAAACAGCATGTCAATCTGCATATTACACACTGCAAGCATGAGAATGATAAGCACAGACAAGGAAGATGCACCTGACCTGAAAGCCCTCGTTCTTGTGAATACAGGCTCACCCAGGAGGAGAACCCTAAATAATAATAGTCTTAAACCTAAGAAAGCAAGGAAAGTGGATCAGGCTGTAACCGGACCCGCTCATTGTAACTTCATAATTTCAATTTATTTAAAACTAGTAATTCTAACTAATTTTGAACATTGCTGTAATCAAGATGTGCTTTCACTCCCTTTCATAATCCATTAGAGTTTGTAAGAAGTTACACAGAACACAATTCGTTTCAGAGCAGTTACTCCTCATTATGAGATATACACATACACATGTATTTTAAGAAAGCCACGCAGCCCAGCGTTGGCCAACCAAAGAATGGGACAGAAATGTTTCATACCTTTAGAGCTCAAGCTGGGCACTCACTTTCCTAGACTGGTTTTCAGGAATGCTGAGTTTCTCCAAGGGTATTCTTCTTGGGGGTGGGAGTGGAGAATGTAAGTAGAGCCACCACTTAAACTAAAGGTAATTTACTCAGTTTATTTTTTGTGACAGCTTTGAAACTAATTCTGACTGAAAACCATCAATGATGTAGACAGAATTTACCAAAAATCAAAATTAAATATTTTCTATAAGACATTTCAGTAATTCCTTTAACTGAACAACCAACTCACACTAAATTTTTTCCTCAAGTTATACAGTTACGCCCCGATTTTGCTCTCTGTACCTTTAAGCAGGTGAGTTGGCTCTGACTTTTTACTGACATCTGCTGAAATGAGTCATCAGCTGCTTTCCTCCAACAAACAACAAAACACCCCGAGGTTGCTATGCAATCCATTTCAGAGGCTAGCTGCAGAGCCTGCACATTACTCCTCAGGTGCCAATGTTATGCTCTTTGCTGTACAAGCCAACAAAAATGAATCCCTTCATGAAGAAGTTTACGGCAGAGAGCAAGGACTTAAACTTTACTGTTTTAAATTGAAGATGGCAAGAGGGACAGTGTTGAGGTGTTGTAGGAAAATACTTACAGGGTTCTGGAAGAAAGTATTTGAAGAAAAGGGCAAGTCTTTGGAAAAGACTGGGAATGGAAAAGAGGATTATGAAAGCTCAGGAAGCAGGAAGCTGGTCCAGGAATGAGGACAGAGATGGGAAAGGTGGCCACAGAAACAAATGAAATACTATCAACCGCCCCAACATTTTAAAAAGGGAAAAATAGGGTGAATTGTGAGAACTCTGTAGAACGAATGGCAAAAGGCTCTAGGACAGTGACAAAAGTAAACCCAGGGATAATCTCAAAAACAAAATAGTTCCAGAAACTGGTAGGGCTGAGAGGATAAGGCAAGGGTCTTCACGCCTGACAGAAAAAGGCAAAGGGACAGTGCAGACACTTCTACATAAGAGTCATGGGAATACAGGATGTACAAAATTATAGTAGATGCTCTTTGAGCCAGAAGGCATTAGAGAAGGAAAAACCCAAATAACGTTTTCAGAAGTCAAGTACATTTTAAGTGTCTGACCAGAGCTAACATGATACAATGACACAGTGATCCCTGTGCCGCTCCAGTCCCACACCACCACACCTTCCCTCCTGCTGCTGGGCAGCAGCCACCCAAGATCAGGTAGCTCCAGAAGTGTTTTGCTTTGGGTTGCAACCACTACTAAACTGAAGACATAATTCAAAAAGCTTTGTTGCTTTACCACCCAAACTCTATCTCCATATTACAGAAATACAGAAAAACTCACTTCCCTCTTTACCATTTTACCATACTCCTGATCAAACTGGGAAATAAAACAGTCAGAAATAAACAACCACACCAGCTTTCTAATAGTGTAGTCAACTGGCAGGTTTGCACAGGAAATGCTTCTTGTTTTTCACTACCTCTTTGGGACCTTTCCTCATGAATTTTGTCTCTCATTACAACCAGGTCTGTATTCTCGGCAAGTAACAAGTCTTCCAAGTCTCAATATCCAAACAACAGCATCTTCCAAATATCACGGTGGGGTCACTGTGCACACTTAATGCCTAAACCAAAGCACGTCTACTGGCATTAAATACCAACATCATACCACTTTGCTCCTGGTCCAAAAAGCAGCATGAAACTTGCCTGTTACAAACAGCAGCAAAATCACAGCTACAAAAAAAAAAAGGCAGCCTGCAAATTTAGCAGAGGAATACATCCCAGAAAAAAAAAAAAAATCAATTTGCAAGGATTTTGTTATGCTCCAAATGACAAATAAGGTCTAAGGGCAGGCAAAGGTTAAGTTTGTCAGCACAAGTACACAAAAAATCATAGCTCAAACTGATGTCAATTTGAAATAAATATGGTTAAGTATGCTCTAATTCCTGTTTAAATGCACGTTTTCTTTTCCTAAATATACTGTGTCTTGTGGGATGTCCTATCTAAAGGTCTTTAAAAGTTCTCCAGTAAATTGGGGAAAATGCCTTGCAGAAACAGTCTATACAGTAGTGACATTTTCCTCTTCCCAAAACATACTTCTGTCTCACCAGATCAATCTTCCTTCCTATCCTCTTCTCTCTGGCCAACTCCTTGGTAGCTCATGCCTCTCCTCTCTGCATAAACCTTGTTAATTTGGTTTTCACAGGCAGGCTCCCACAGACCTTTGCTTAGATTTCTCAGACTCATTCTGTCACTTCCACTCTCTGCACGCTGTCAGGTTTGTGTACAAGTTTAGTAATCCAGTGCACAATGCTTCACACATATTCACTCGCCTACTATTTCTCCACCTCTTTTTCTGTTAAAAGCCCTGCTATCTACAGGCAAAATCTTTGCAACAGTCTATGCTCAAACTTTCAACATACACAACAGTGTCCCCAGCTGAGAACTAGGATATAGATAAATATGAAAGATCACAAGCATTTTAACCACTGCATCGTCTATGCCTGCAACTGTAAAAATCAGTTTTTTGATTGCTGCCTGGTATATTCTCACAGGTCTTCTGAGAGAAATGAAATAATTTCTGTCATCTGTCTGCCCACCCTGCCCTGTTATATTCTTTAGTAACTTCAGAATTCATTACCCACATTTCTGCCAAATTCGTCAGAGAAATACGTCCACAAGCTTTACAAAAACAACCGGTCAGATGGAGGACAGAAGCCTCAAGAAGGCAAGGAGAACTCTGTATATATCCTCAATCTTCCCCAGCAGCTGGCTGGCCACTCGGCAAATGGGAACACTTGCCTCAGCTGGCCGCACGCGTACGGACGGCACGGATCGGGCCACCAGCAGCACCCAGGGTCAGTCCTGGGGAGAGAGAAGCTACCAGGGGACTCAGGCTGGTAGGAGACGAGCAGGAGTTACTATGGTAGGATGTGGCAAAGAAGTCCTCAGGAAACCAGGTTTCATTAGTTCTCCTCACAGAACAACTTTCTTTTGAGCCCGGTTTCCTATGGAAACAAAGTTTATATAATCACACTTTTCACTGGTGAGCTTTTGGATCCGTTGGCTAATTTCAAACACATCTGAGAGAACAGTAGATGTTTTGAGGACAGGGTTTATGTGTTTATTGGAAATTGGCAGCTGGGGCATGCTGAGGGAAAGACGGCAGCATTAGATCAACAGTTGTCTGTTCGCCTTGGCCATCTGGGCAACCAGCGTGTGCACAGCTGGTACAAGGAGGGAGCTGGAGACACGGCACGAGAGGGAAGGAATTGCAAGTACTGTGAAGCAGAGAGGTACAGGACAGGAGCCCTGGGTACCCACGTGCAGGCTGCAGGGACCTGGTCAGAAAACCACCTCGCTACAACGGGAACAACTGGCCCTTGTCCCCATCCCAGCTACTCAAGTTCCACTTGACCATCGTGGGCAGGTACACAACAACACAAGCTGGAAACGTTTTAGGAAGCTTTGTTCAACTTGGAAGTGGAACCAAAGCAGTAAAAAAATCCTGTCATTTTCCTTCTCAACTTGACGTTCTTACGCTTACTCGGCTCATACATAAGGCGGCCACCAAAAATACAACCAGGGTCGATCTACCCAACTGGCATTTAGCAACAAACCCATCTCTGCTATAAGGTAGCCCCAATCACCTTCCCCTGCTTCCAAGAGGAGACACAGCGGACGATGAACCGGAGAACAAGAGATTTTGGCATCAGAATTGAGCCACCAACTTAGTTAACGTGTGAGGAAACAAAATCCACCTCACCCTGCTGAGATTTTGTACTGCAAAGGGAGACAAACCTTGTTGCGACTATGTAGGTCAGACGTAAGGACATAAAGGGGTGCGCAGAGCCGTTTTAAAATGAAAATAAGACCGCGGTACTAGCGCCCTGCTCTGTAATAAGTACCAGGTGGGAGCTATTCACACGGGATTCACCGCGAGGCTAAAAATCTACGTTTTAGTGTTTTCTCTGTTTGCACAGACCCTAAAGCACGCACGCACGTTGCAGGACGAGGGCCTCTGCTAGCATGAAGCAAATCAGCTGCGCCGCTCACGCACATCTGTACCCCGAAAGGCTCCAAAGGCAGCCGCCCCTTTAGAAAAGGGTTAAGCCCACGGCGCTGACAGCCGCAGTCGGCGTTTCTGCTGCCCAACCCCACCGCTTACCCCTCGCCGCGGGACACGGAGCTGCGAGGGCCGGCCCGGATCCCGCGGGGGGGTGCAGCCCCGTCTGCTGGGGCCGCCGAGCCCCTCACCCGGCCGGCGGGAGGTGCGCGGGCAGCCTGACCTTCCCCACGGCCGCACCGGGCGGCTCTCGGCGGACGGCTGCCACGGAGACAGACCCGACCCGACCCGCCAACGGTCGTAACGGCCCTAACGGCTCCTCCCTCCCGGCCGGCGCCCGACCCCCGCGCCCCGTTCCCCCGCCTCAGGCCGGTGCCGGCCCCTCAGGGAGGGCGGCACCGTGTGTGTGTGTGTGTGTGTGTCCGTGTGTCCCTCCGTCCCGCCGCCGCCCCGCACTCACCCCGCCCGGCGCCCCGGCTCCATGGTCCCGGCCGCCGGCGCCCGCGCCCCCCCCCCCCTCCCCCCCCCCCGCGCCAGCTCCCCAACATGGTGCCGCCCGGCCCCCGCCGCCCCGCAGCCAATGGGCGGCCGCCCCGCCTCATCCCGCCGACCAATCAGCCGGGAGCCCTTCCTTCACCGACAGGAGGCGGTGCGCCCGCCCATAGGCCGGCTCCAGGCGCCCTCTGCCTCCCGCCTCCAATAGGAGCGCCCGCCTCGGCCTCCGCCCGCCCAATTTGGGGGAAGGAGGAGGGAGAGGAGCTGGGGTTAACCCCCTCCTGCCCGGCGGGGAGAGGGAGCCGCTGCTCCACGGGGCAGGGCGTGTTCTAGCGAAGATATTTAGAGCGAAATCAAGGGAAAGAGGCTTTTTTTTTTTTTTTTTTTTTTTTTTTTTTTTTTTACACGCATACTAAAACCCCCGCGTGCAGCAGCGCTCTGCGTGAAGAGGATTCTGTGGCAAAGATTCATGTAACAACACACAGTGTTATACAGCTATTTGGCTTCTGTGAATTTAAAACCATTAAAATCATTGTACGCTATTATACAGTATATTATACTATATTATACAGTATTATCATACTATATAGTCCTATTATGCTACATAGTAGGACTATAGTATAGCCCTAAACAATACACTTCCTTTTAAAATTTATCCATATCATGACTAGAATTTGTATACATCTATGCCCCTGCTATTGCAAATACTGTATTAATTTAAAATTTTTCCTAATAAAAAAATAATGCTCCAGTGTTGACTTAATTTAGCAGGCATTACTCGAAGTTTGGCAGGGAAGGCGCAGCTGGTGCCACGCCAACCTATCTCAGCAGGAGTCACCGCTGAACAGCACAGAAATGTTCTCAGAAAAAAATATTACAGCAAGGACTGTGGTGGAGCGGTGGGCTGACAAGGCACAGCTATTCCAGTCACGCACGGGCACCATGGGCGCTCCATAACTAGAGCCTGTACATCCCGTTCCTCCATGGCTCCTCCCCATCCAGAACAGTTTCTCCACCGTTTCTGCTCCACATGCTGTTCCTAATAATTTTTTGTCCCTTTTGCTCACTCCTATTTCCACTTATTCTTGGAGTCAGCCCATCAAAGCGTGGAAGATCACTCCCCTTCCCTTTCTTCAGATCTCTTGAGGGCATCTCTTGTAGTTCTTCACCAACCCAGTACTTACCATCCAGGTCTCCCTCAACTACATCTTGCTTTTCATTGCACAAATTGCTGCTGAAGACTAGACACTACTTTTTTTTTTTTTTTTTTTTTTTTTTTTTTTAATTTAATTCGGGTGCGGGGAAAGGAAGGAGAATTCCTTTGCCTATCAACTGGGAAGATGTTCTCCTACACCAGCGGCTCCAGACCCTTGGCTGAGAGAGGCGAATGAAGCAGGTCTGAAGGCCAGGTCAGAAACGGGGAGCGCCAGATCTCGAGCTACCAGGGCAGTAAGAAAGTACAAGATTTCCACCACAGAAGCACAGGGTGGAGGAATCGGGCTGCTACGCGGCAGCTCCATCCCTCAGCTCTCCTCCTCCGTGCGCCAAGGGCAGCCACGGTGGGAACGCGGGGTCGGCTGCCAGGAAAGAGGGGAGCTTGTTGAGAAACGCGCTGCAGCTACCTCCCGATCCGTCTGGCTTCCACCGGCTCCTTCCTAAGCCAAAGAAAGTTTCTTTCTGTGGTGCTGGAAAGCGATCCCTTGCAGAGAGACAGGCAGAATTTGGTGGGGAATTTTTCATCTTGCACCTGGATCTAACATTTCCCAGGCAGAGCATCCTAGATCGGTTTGGTACCATGCATCCTAACAGCACTATTTTTATTATCATTGGCTCGCCGCGACTTTATAAACATAGTTGAATGCAGTATCTCCAGACTGCAACAAATACTGCATTTGCAGACTGGCCTGTCTGAAATGGAACATAAATATATTTCTTTCCAGGAGTTTTCCCCTCTCTTCCTCAACTTGTAAGCCTCGGAACGAAAACCTTTCTTAATGGGACTTTTTGAAACCCCTTTGAAAAAAAATCATACCTAGTACTTTATGACTTCCTGCTCCAAGCTTCCAAGCGTGGCAAGCAAACATCTTCGCAGACATCCAGACAGAGGACACTCTTCTCGTGCAATGTTATTGCTAGAGGGAAAGATACTTAAATATATATATTAATAGCGGTTTCATTGTTATGGACTGCATCTCTGCTAACTCCTCACCAAATTAAAATTTTAAACCTAACTACAATGATGGTTTTCATTATTAATTAGCACATTAATATTTAAGTGCTGAGCACTTGACTACAACTATAGAAACATTAATAGCTAGGAGTGGCCAAGTGGCTTCGGTTATGGACAAGCCATGGAGCTGGGGATGGTGGATGGCAGAGGGGCCAGGAGGAGACAAGGTAGTCACCATGGGCCATCATCTTCTGAAGCTGACAGGCAGAAGAGCTCCATTATCCCTTGCCAAGGAGGCAGCAGACTCCAGGAAGAGCTGATGGAGCTGGGGCTGCCTACAAAAATCCGTAGGGTCATGGGAACATGGACCGTCTCAGGCTGGAGAGCAAGGTCTGACTGGGGAACAGCAGTCTCAGAAAAGAGCCGTCCCAAAAGCACGGGCTGGTGTGGGAAGGAAGCCAGAGAGGCTGTTAAATAATTCTATCTGCTCCAGGAAAATCTCTGCGTGCTCAGAAGGAGAAAGCTTTAAATCAACATACACACTGTCACCAGATGCTGCACAGATCTTCCTGTTCAAAGAGGTGTGTGATCCTGGCAACAGACTGAAATCAGATTTATACAATACAAAAGAAATTCCTGAGTCAAGGACACCACTTACACCAGCGAAGTATGTTGAGTATCACTTCGCAGAAGATATCTATATATAATAGACACGTGCCAATGGAAACAATAAGCTAAAGTTATAGAAATTATTTCAGACAGGGTGACGCTGAGGTCAGGTATCAAGCACAGGCTCTCAGGTGGAAACTCTTCACCTAAATACGCACTACCCCCAACTCTGTATTTTGCCCTGCTCGGCAGCGGTGAGAACAGGTATCGATGCCATGACTTACCTCTGAAGAGTTCTTGGATATTGTGAAATGGGAACAGCGAAAGAACCTGAAATAATGGGACCAGCAAAGATGAGACACAGCCTAGGTGTGCCTGAGCCACAGGTAAGGCACTGCCAGTGAACAGCATCCCCAGTGAAAGTTGAGGGGGGCCGTGGGGATGGGTATCATCCCCCAGCTTGCCGCGGGCTCTGGCTCACAGTGGGGAGCAAAGGGCACCACGGTCACCGCGAACTCTCTGCTACTGCCATGGGGAGGAGGCGGACGCCGCCCCCACGTCTCAGCTGCTCCCTCCATCATCGGAAAGGGTGGCCCAAACCCACCTACGGCTGTGGTCGAGGCTAAGACGGTTCCCTGAACGGGGAAGTCGTGGCCTGGCGGTGCATCCTCTGCCCCCCCCCCCCCCCCCCCTGTTGCTGCGGGGTCACGGCTTTCGGCAGGGAGCTGTCTCAGACCCTCCTGGCCAGATTCACCGGGGTTCAGCTGTCTGAGAATGAGTGGAGAAACAAGAGCGGTTCTGCTTCCGTTCTCCTTCCTCCCCCCTGTTCCCAAAGCCCTTCGCGTTTTCTGTGACATTTCCCTGACGATGTAGCTGCGTCTTTCCATCGCTAAAGGCACCCGAGAGTTTTCACAGCAGCTCTGAGAGGATACAGGGGAGCGCAGTCACTGCAGCCTGCAGCACCGTTACGCAGGACAAAATAGACTCTTCCCAACGCAGCCAAGTGTTGACATCTCATTACAGGAGCCAGGCTTATTTCAAGTAGCTTCTTCAGAGGGTTGATAAAACCCATCAGAAACCTTAAATTACATAGGCAGGAGAGACTGTGAAGAACTACGACGGCAGCAGGGGATTTTACAAGCACGGGAATGGGAGGATACGGGGACGCACAACTTAGTTTAAACCAGCAGATCTCAAATCCCTGGTCTCAGCCCTCTGTGAGCTGAAACCAAAACCATGAGCGGAAACAGGATCGTGCCTCTGAAAACCAACGGCAGCTGGGAGAATTTGGAAACTGCTCCTTAGAAAGAGCAAAGCCGGTGATATTCCTCATGGCACTCCAGACAGCTGCGTTACGCATCTGGGTGGCAGAGAGCCGAAAACATTTAGGTTCAACTCATCTGACCTGACACCGGCAAGGGATCGTGTAGGGGTGATGGCAGGCGTGGTAGAAGGCTGCAGGACGTTCCTACAAAGCAACCAAAATCCTCCAGATTACTGATCATTTTCTGTCATCTTGTTGGCAGGCCTCTGGTCCTCCACCCAGGCCCAAGACCCCAGAAATCCTCAGGTAAGTTGGACCAAGTATGGACTGTTGGCGAATGGCTCAGAGACAAGGGTCATGAGCCCACCGAGCAATCGTACGATCAGAGCCTGTTCTAGGGGCTGATGCTGCCTCGCTGATGCTGGGCCTCATTAGGGTTTGCCTGCAGCTGCTCGCAGCTGCTGATACATGAGGAATGTCAAGGATGCTTCGGCCTTGTGTACCGTGGTGTGTCGAAAACAGGAATTAGAAGTAGTGGCATGAGAAACTTAGTGTTATGAGAAGCTTGTGCTGTAAGCTAACTGAAAGTAGGTGGACCGTGCGAATACGACCTTTAGAGCTTAAGCCAATCAGCTAGTGACTAGTAGGCATAATAATTATCATTGTCTGTATAAATATATGTACCCTGGACCAATAAAGAGACACGTTGATTGATGCTCTATCACCCACACTGAACCTGTCTCGGCGTGTCGTTCTTCTGTGGCTCCACAAGATGGCGCCCGAACAGGGACCTGCATAGAAGAAGAACACGGATGGAGCAGCGGGCCCGGAGAAAACAGCAAGGACCGGGGAATTCGAGAACGGACCTGGAGAAACACCAAATACAGCAGTGTCCGGGGTCCAAGAGCTGAGATGGAGGGGCGCCAGCTACAGCAGCACCAAGAGCGGACGCGGAGAGGCGCCGGCCCCGGCAGCGCCAGGAGCTGACGCGGAGAGGAGCCGGCGGCGGCAGAGCCAGGAGCGGATGCGGAGAGGCGCCGCACACAGCAGCGTCAGAAACGAATGCGGGGAAACATCAGATACAGCAGCGCCTAGGGGATCAAGAACGATCGAACAGTGGATCTCCGACGGGTTGTTCCGAGGACCTGAACCGAGATAGAGGGTCGCTCTCTGCAAGGGCTGCTGGCAAGCGCTGCACCTGGTGCCTTAATCACGGAGCATCAGCAACATATCAAAGTAAGGGAGTATTTCTGTGACTTAATCAAGGAGCACAGGGCCGGCGGGAGTATTTCTGTGCCTTAGTCAAGGAGCACAGGGCCGACGGTGCCTTAATCAGGGGTGGGTCGGCAGTAACGGTACTGTGCCTTATCCAGGGAGCACAGGACAGGAGGTGCCTTAATCAAGGAGCACCAGGTTGACGATATGGAACAGGAGGTAGCCCTGGATTTATTACAGCGCTTTTTAGAAAAGCGGGGAGTAGATTGTATAAAATCACTCACGGGTTTAGTAGCGTTAGGACGGGTCAAAGGATGTTTTCAAGATCCTAATTCTCTTTTTGATGTCGAGGAGTGGAGACGATTAGGTGATGTTTTATGGGATACAGTAATTGACGAGGATAAAGCTGCAAGGAAAATGATGAAACCATGGCGGGAGGTGGTGAATAATAGTAAGCGGTATCAGCTTGAAAAGAACCTTGCAGCTGTGGCAACTACAAAGTTGGGGGGGGGAAAGTTCCACTGTTGCCCCAGAAAGTGATGCATCCGGACCTATGCTCGTTGACAGTGATCGTATTCCTGTACCATCAACAGGAGTACCGGTTTCAGTTAACACAAGTAGGGGCAGTCCGGAGGCCAGCCCCCCCCCAGCGCCCTTACAGTCATGCCCCCCCCACCCCCAAAACCTCAGAGGTGGAGGGGCAGAGGGACGATGGCCCCTCGCTAATATTTAGCCAACAGGGGTGGCGCGAAGTAGGTGATTTATTGTGGGACGAGACCATCACTGGAGGCAATAAAGGCAGTGAAGCACGACAGCAAGGGCTGGTCTGGCAAACGATTGTAAAAGCCCTGAGGGAGATGCCAGCAGAAAAGAAAGTAGCTGCTGCTGCTATGGCGGCTGTCGGCGCTGTACCATCCCCACCAGTCCCTGCCGAAACCAACCGCCCGTCACGATTAGCCACCTTCTTCGGGGTTAATCAGCAGCTCCGCTCTATTAAGGGCATGTCACCAAGTGTTCCTGTTTGCTCCACCGCGCAAGAAGCGGCAGAGAAATCAGGCGGCGCGGGGGGACAGGGGGGCGCGGCGTGCCACCCCAAACTCTGCCCCCACCCCCCCCCCCCCCTTCGGATGGTTCCGCCCCTGACGGCACGTCAGCGTCTGAGTCGGAGAGAAAAACGGCGGCTGTGTCCGAATTAAAGCACCAGGGTCACACACCGGTAAGGGACAGGGACAGAGTCCAAAAACTTGAAAGAAAATTACAGAAATTAAGCTACAGAACAGAACTCTGCATTTACAATTACAAGAAAAGGAAGCGCTGCCGGCAGCCCCCACCACACCCACTCCCGTCACCCTTATCAGAACCAGCTCCGCTTTTAGCTCAGTCCCGATGGAGTGGGGTGATTCGGGGTGCCTTGTTAGAAGGGGACTGGCATGCTGCTGGAGCCTTGGCCTGCCCAGTAGTGACAACGAATGGGGGACACCTGGGAACTCAAGATCACCAGATTCTCCTCGGGGGGTCTGGAGACTCCTTACGAACTTCAGAACTCTGAACTGTCATTTGGGTGTTTCAACATCAACACTGGTATCAAAAACTTGTTCATGTAGTATCAGATTCATTGTATGTTGTGGGTTCATTTCAATGTTTAGAACATACTGTGGTGAAAACTGTATGAAACTCTGTATTGCATACTCTGTTGTTACAATTGCTGACACTTTTAAAACTGTAAGGGTGGTTTTCTTGCTACATAAGACTGCATAAGACTGGAACATGGGCTGACAGAATGGTTACAAAACTTGGGAATTTGGAAAATGGACTGATGATGGTTACAAATCTACAAGACTTGGAAATTACTGGGTGGCTGAAAGCTTTGTTGATGCATGGACTGGTAATGCTGATTGTCATTATGATTGTGATGATGGTATTGGGGTCTGTGTGAAAATGCTTTATGAATGCTATGATTCAAACGTGTCGTGGTTTAGGCCTGGTTGGCAGCCAACCACAATGCAGCAGCTCTCTCTCCCTTCCCCTCTGGCAATGAGATCCCCACACTTTCACTCACCACCTATCCTGGGCCTTCCAGCAGGAGCCGTACCTGCAGCCCCTTCCCCGCTCGTAATGCTGGGGTTGGTTCTTCTGGCTCATGGTCACCTTCCCGTGAGCTCAGAGACCTGCAAAATCTGGGCAGATGCTGTGTTGGCGGCCTCCCAGGTGGTGGTTGGCGATGCCTGGGAGATAAGGGGGTAGCGAAGTCACCCCTCCCCGGTTCAACGCCCCAAACAGACCTTGGGAAAACAGCGGGTTGGAAGGGGGGGGTGAGGGGGTGTCCATGGGGCAACAGCACCCCAGCTCCCATGGGAAGGGTGGGATTGACAGCACTACCTTCTTCCCGTCTGGCACAGGACGAAACCCCTCTTGAAGATGAAATCCCAGAGTCACCCAGCTCCCTCGCTCCGGCGAAGCCACGGCGGCCACCACCAGGTCAGTGAGGGGGGACAGGGGGGGCCTTAGGGGTGAAACCCCCGGCCGCAGGTTTGGGATGGTTTCCTCAGTGCTGTGTCCTCAGGCTTTGAGACCAGGGGTAGGGCTCATCTCCATCTCCATCTCGTTCCTGGAGCCATTTGCGGTCAAGGATGGGGAGACTAAAGCAGGAGGCAGAGTAGCAACCACAGGGCTGGGGATGGAGTAAAATAGAGCACGTGGGTCCTCAAGGAAAGCAAGTCCCTCCCTGCTCTTAATTAGCACAGCGACTAATGGAGTAAAAGGGCCTGGGGGTAGGATCGGAGCGAGTGACCCGGCTTGTCTGAGCCTCGGAGAAGGTTCCTTACAGGCTTAGAGCAGGGCACCTGCAGTGGTTGTGGTGCTGCTGTGAGCTGGGCTCGGTTGGGACGAGCTGTGGTTGCCCTGGGAAGGGGATTCCTGGCCAGCGGTACGTGGCGTCCCACCTCCCGGGGCCGGGAGGGCAGCACCGGGGCCACCACATCGCCCCCAGCGGTTGGTTCAGGCTGCTGGGAAGCCAAAATAGGGCTCTGCCGCCTGCCTCGGCCCGGCTGCACGGTCCGAAATCGCTGTTTAAAGCTGAGGAGCACGCGTGGGCACGCGGGAGCACGAGCCAAAACGCAGAGCCGGGAGGAAGGGTTGGGAGTTGCCCTCTCCAGAAAACGTCACGCGGTGCTGGGAGGTGGGAGCCTGCGGCTGAGCCGCGAGCAAGACCCATGTGGGGTAGAAACTACCACCGTGCAGAGATCCCACCGCATGGGCATTAACCTGCTGCAGTTTATTCCGGCTATCGCCCCCCCGACCTGCCGAAAGAAAGAGGAATCTGTGGACAACCAGTTGGCAACCCCCTGCTCCCGGGGGGGGCCTGAGCCAGGTGGAGGTGGGGAAAGGCGGGCCAAAAGACCACTAATGGCAGGACAGGGCTCGTGCCCCAAGCAGAGCCGCCTCGGAGGCAGCCTGGGGGTAAAGCTGCTACAGAAAATGGCCGTGGCTCACGGGAGTTACGGGCTCAAGGGCCCCAACAACCTCCAAGAGCATCTTTACGGCACCAAAAGCCCTCGCAGATCCAGCCGTGGGATCGCATTCGACAGCGCAGCTCTGGCTCTTCCCCTAACGAGCACAGGTGTGTCAAAGCACTGACAAAACCCAGGGCAGATCCTTGCGAAGAGACTTCAGCAAACCTGTATGAAATCACCCTACCCGGAGGTCTGAATTTAACTTTATAACCCTGGTGAAGGGCAGGGATTGCCTACGGTTTTCAGTAGGGACCGAGGGAGATCAGAAGAGCAAAGACACCAAAACCAGCAGTTCATTTATTTTATTTATTTATGTGTTTGACTCCACCCAGGAAAGACATCCCACCCCTAAAGCTCCCATCCCTGTAAAAGAGAAGGCACAGAGCCCAATCCTCTGCTCAGGGGTTATATTTAAAATCCAGTGGATGAACCCCCATCGCAGCTGGTGCTCCGTCCGTTCAGGGGACCGCTGTTGGCTCCCGGCTTGCTCGGTGTTGCTGCAGATAAAGACAGGCATCAAGGAGAAGGGCTGAGGAGAACTGGATGTGTATTTAGGCACAGGGCAGCAATGCCTACCCTGTCCCACTTGCCGAGCCACCTCTTTCTTCCTCCACAGACCACGTTCCCACTCCTGCGACGCAGCCGAGAGATGCAGCAGAGGGAACACCTTGCGAACGCAGACCCCGAGGTCCTGTCAGGGTTACAGATCTGCATTTATTGCACGTTGAAAGGTGCTGGCAGGCCCGGCAAGCACCACAGCCCTGGAAGTGTTTCAGGTTTTCATCATTCAGGAGTTTCCCCAAAGCATAACAACAGGGCTAGGGGCCAGCAGGTCATCAGGACCCGACCGGGTGACTAGGGCTGCTTTTTGGGAGCTCTCCTCCAGGTTGAGTCCCCGTGGACCCAGGGCTGTCAGCAGAGCCCTGGTACGACTCTCATCTTGGTTGACCTGTGGCACTTGAGAAGGGAGAAGTGGGAGGGAGCTTGGCTGTAATGCACACACACCCCTGGGCAGGGTCAGCAGCATCACAGGGCTCGCTGGGGAGAAAGGCGGCAAAACACAACAACCCCCGAGGCCCAAAAAGAAAGAATGCGGAGGGCTGGAGGGTGGACGCACCTCGAATTTGGTCAGCCGAAAGCCACGGTTGGGTTGGGAAGTGCCCCATCGATTCCTGTGCTCTCTCCTGGGCACATCCGAGGGTAGCCCGGGCGGCACCACCGCTGCCCTGTCCCCGAGGGAAGCACCCAAGGCTGCCCAGGCCCGCAGAGGTGTCCCCTGCCCAGCAGCCAGCCGCTGCCCCACAGTCCCCACGTCCCAGTCCCTCTCCCTGCCCTCGCCAAGCCCCACGAGCTCTGATATCCACCTTCCCGCCCGCAGGAGGCCGGAGCAGCCGCCTCCAGCCCCCACGTCCTCAAGGTGCATTACAAATACACCGTCGCCCTGCAAGTCGAGCCGGGCCTCTCCTACACGGAGCTCCTGGACCTGGTTTGCAAGAAACTGGAGCTCCAGCCCGAGCACGCGCAGCTGAGGTGAGGCGCTGCCCGCTGCGGGGAGCCGGGTCGTGGTTTCGGGGCTCCCGCCCTCACCCCGCGTCCTCTGCGCACCCAGGTACAAGCCTGCGGAGAGCCAAGCGCCGGTGGCTCTGAGCGTGGGGAACCTGGAGGCGGCTTGGAGCCAGGGCAAGGACAACTCTGACCCTCTGGTGTGACATGACGGAGGTCGGTGACAGCTGGAGGTGGCGGCCACCGCTCCTGCCAAGGAAACCTAAGCGGCCGTTGCCTTTGCTTTCCTCGCCGCGAGCGCAGGCTCGTGGCTTCCAAAGCAAGCCAGCGACGTCTTGAAAGGCAGAGGAGCAAAAGAACAGGCCAAGGGAGAGGCAGAGCTTGTCTCTCTTAGCCCCGAACAAAGAAAAGCCGCCAAAACGTGTCCTGACCCGGCTTATTTCCTACCCTAGGGAGAAGGGTTTTTACCAGACAGCAAACCGGAGTCGCCGGGGCAGACGGGACTGACCCAAGTCGTGGCGCAGTACGATTACGAAGCCACCCAACCTGAAGACCTGGAGTTTCAGGCAGGAGACGTGATACTCGTTCTATCCAAAGGTAATGGTGCTCCTTCTGGGCCAGGGGAGGGGAGGGACCCCCCGCGATGCCGAGCGCCTGCAGCGGCCGCTGCTCAGCTCAGTGGAAGTTGTGGGTTCCCAACACCTTCCCCTCAAGCCAAAAACTCTCGGG